TTCCTTCTTTGTGCCTAGTTAACATAGGAAAGGGGAGAAGAAACATCTGAAAACGCTAAAATAGTTCTTGTAGTACTAACATAATGCAGTTCATTCTGCATCAGCCATAGCTTCTGTTCCTCTCATTATTTGGGGTTTCTTCTATCACCCCTCCTTTTTATAAGACCTTTCCTTATTTCAGCTCCTTGTTCAGCCGTCCTGAAACCGCCTTCTTGTGCAGCATTTACTCCACTCCTTCTTTTGCAGATGCCCTTCTTGCTCCCCTAAGCTGTGATGTTGCAAACATGTAGAAAGTGGCTGTAGGGGCGGGAGGGTGAAGTCTGCAGCGAGCTGCCAACAGTCAATGTGACCTCAAGGTGGCCATTGACCAGTGGAACTGTCCCTGGGGGAAAGAAATCACTATTGTGAGTGACACATGGCTTTGGTTGCCTGCCCATGAGAAATCTACTCGGGCCATTTCCTCATTCTTCAGGGTGGTCTGAACGCCATTGTTCAATGGAAATCCTACCCCAGAAGCTTTGTATAACTTTCTAGGCTGATTCGGAGGAAGTGAGAAGCAAATAATAACTGAAGCCATCTGGAAGAGAAGTCTTCTTTCCAAGAAGTTGTAGTGGGAGGTGCTTGTAATTTCGTACAATAAATACGGTAAGCATTGGAACTGTCCTCTGTCTTACATATCAGGGATCCAAACTGTCATCTTGACTGGCAACATTTCTCAATGGAGCTGTTGGTTAATAAGTGTGTAATATTTGGGCTAGCCTGCTTCCTAATGAAGCTCACTTTTAGCAGAGTTAATTCGTTAATTAAATGTTTTAATTAAGTTGTATCAGGATTCTTTATTGGCTGGCCATTATTTTGGGGAGTGGGGACTGCCTATCTTTGCATTTCAGCTCAACGTGATATACAATGCTGTATTTCCTTCTGAAGCTGTGTACATTTTATGGAAGTGCATTGCATGGAAAGCATAAGGTTGAAGGCAGTCACTAACAGGACGGGGCTGTTAGTGGGATCGTGCTGTTTGTGGAAATCTGGCTGACCACTATGGAAAGAGAATGCTGGACTCCACAGACCTCTGATGTGATCCAGCAGGACTCTTCTTATATCTGTGTAACCTGTGGGGAGCAGTGGTGAGAAGAGGGCTCACGTTAAAATGCTCTGACAGGTTGAATAGGAAGGCACTGAGGTCAGCCTGTCTTGGCCCTGCCCTGGTCATAAGGCAGGCTGAAAGGAGGATGGATATACAGGGTGTTGAGCAGAGAAAGGTTATGCAGCTCGGGTATATAACTGCAAAGCAAGCATGGAGCTGCACATGGAACAGGAGGATTCTTCCTTGGTATTGTTGGGGGTAAAATATTATAAGCTGCACTGGATCAGAACAAGGGTCCATCTGGTTCAACACCCTGTTCACAGTTAACTGGCCAGTTGCCCATGGGGAACCATCCTGGCAAAATGCTCGTTACTGTCTCTGATCCTGGAGGCGTTATGTAACCATTGGCATATAGCCAAGATCTTAAAGCACATGCTGGTGACTTATCCATATGGGCTCAGCTGCATGGTGTCTACTCCTCATACAGAACCAATGCTGGGTTCAGGCAGCACAACAAACCATGGTGGTTTTTACTATGGTTGCTCTGTCATGTTCTGTGGACCTAGTCGTGGTATTTTAGCATGGTAGGTTTGGTCTTTAGAAACCATCATAGGAAACAATGGTTTGTTCTATGGTTTCTTTGTTCCACCATGGTTTGGCATGCTGTTGGATCCAGGATCATGGGTTCCATGGACCTAGCATGCCTCTGAAAAGAGTGACAACTCCAGAAGCTGCTCCACAGCCTGCATGTGGACCAGTGAGGAAGAGACAGGTGATATAGACAGGGGGTGATGCACCTCGGGGTCGACTTTCAGTACAGTGCCTGATTGGGAGCATGTCAACAGTTGGAGGACTGAGCAGGGTGGATGGAAACAACAATAAAGTGGAAACCACTTGATCTTGCATCAGGTAGATCATGGTAAAAAAAAAGCAAGTTAAGGTAACCCTGAAGGGTTGCTTATTGTGATGTGTGAATACAGCCACTGTGTGGATCAGTTGTTACTATATGGCTTTCTGCAGTCCACTGAGGACTCGTTACAGCAGCTTTCCCCTTGCTGGTACCTTCTAGATGTCTTGTCTTGCAATAACCATCATCATTGGAGATGATGGGAATCATAGTGCAGCCAATCCACAAGATGGCAGGCTTGGAGGGTTGAATGGCAAGAATGGTTCACGTTGGCAATAGCCGTGTTCACATGTTCGGAATACATTCAGCAAACCTATGGAATGGGAGACACAGCATTGTGCTGGTTGGCCCACCCCATGAATTCAGTGGAATGTGTGAACAGACCTCTGTGCACCTGAAAGTGTATGCATGGAGCTGTTCCTGCAGCACCAAGAACTGAAGTGGCCACTTGAGGACTAAAAAGTAAAAAAAAGGAAATTATTACTAATACATTACATTTATACCTCCACCTTTCTTCCTCTTGCAAGGAACTTAAGGAAGCTTACAAGGTTCTCATCCTCTCTATGTTATCCTCACAACGACTCAGCCCAACCTACCTCACAGGGTTGTTGTTGTGGGGATAAGATGGAGGAGGAGAGATGATGTAAGCTGCCTTGAGCCCTTTGTAGGAAAAAGGCAGAATATAAGTCGAAAATAAATAAAATAAAATAAAAAAACAACCCTGTGAAGTAGGTTAGGCTAAGAGTCTGTGACTGGCCCAAAGTCACCCAGTGAGCTCCACAGCTGTGTGGGGACTGGAACCCAGATTTCCTGAGTTCCAGTTCAAGATTCTAACCACTACACCACACTGTCCATCAATGCATCCCCATTATCCACTTCCTTCACACTGTGCTTAGTGTTATACATTTCTCTCAGGTCCCCCAGTTACTTATTCCTCTAAGCAAAACTATCCCAAACATTGGATTCTTTCCCCCTTGGGGAACTGTCCTCAGTCAGCTCTGGTGCAAGTTCTCTCCCTGCTTCAGCTGGGAAAGGATACTTTCTGCTGCTGCATTCTGTTTCTTCTCTCTGATAAGGACCCTCAAAACCTATGGCAGCTTTGCATATTTACAAATATACAAGTAGCACAGAAGTGGAGACAATCCGTGAGCACGCTTAAAGGCAGAAGATCTGCTTTACCGCATCAGATCTTCTCAGGGAAACTGCTATCCAAGATGTCTTCAAGCTTTCAGACTGTTGTTTGCTCTCATTGACTGGGTTCAGACAAATGTTCAGGTGGGTTGTCACTGAAGCATGGCTTGTTGCTGTAACATGGGTTATCATGCTGCCAGAACCCAGTTGCTCTAGCAAACCATGCCTTAGTAACCACAGACAACCCAAGAAGAGAATCCATAGTTTCTTGTTTGATCGTGAACTATAGGTTGTTCACCGTGCTTGGTTATCTTGGGTGGGTTCAACAACATAACTCATATATCAAAAGCAACGTGGGTTATTGTATTGGCTGAACCCAGCTGCTGTCCCTTCAAATTGAAAAACTGCTAATTTGTCTCTTCTTCTCCCTCAAACTCGCACCCTTTTTCTTTGGGGGCCAAAAGTACCACACAGAACTATTCTTATCGTTTTACACAGAGATTGTGTAGTGGTTACAGTGTTGGAATGGGATCTGGGAGATCAATGTTCTTGTCCCCACTTGGTCACAAAGCACACTGAGTGACTTTGGGCCAGTGACTCATTCTCTACCTCACAGGGTTGTTGTTGTGAGGATAAAAGGGAGAGGAGGAGGAGAATTATGCAAGCCACTTCGAGTTCCTTCAATGAACAGAGGCAGGACTTACCTACATACATACAAGCATAGATATTCTCATGCACATTTGGGGAAATTTCTCCAAAACATGTTTTGGTTTACAGAATGAAAAGTATAGAGGCTGAAATTTTGCTGTCTTAAAAAATATTCTGATTCTGGCACTGTCCTAGAAGGACTTGATTATAGGTCTACTTATGTGTAACTTGTAAAATAGAATGTGAGCTTGAGGTCATCCAGACACACCCAGGAGCAAGTTGCCTAACAAAAGAATGGTCACTGAGTAGTCATAATCCTGGAAGCATGGAACCAAACCCAGCCCTCCTGGGACTCATCTGTCCCCTGACCACTGGTAGTTTATTTTAATCCCACTGTTTTCCTTTCAAGGAACACAGGGCAACTTGTATAATTTTCCTTCTCAGCTCAGTCTTATCCTCACAACAACAACCCTGTGAGGTAGGCTGAGCTGAGAGTCTGTGACTGATGCAATCACCCAGTGAGGGTGAGTGAGGACTAGAACCCAGATCTCCTGACTCCCAGTCTTGCACTTTAAACCACGACTCCACACAGGTTCAGCCATTTCTCAGCTGTTGTGCATCCTGCACAAAGCTTGATATCTCTGTCCAAAGGATTAAGACTATATAGCATAAGAAGAGACATGGTGAATCAGAACAAGGGGCCATTTAGTTCAGCATTGGCTAACCAGCTGTCCATGAGAATCCACAAGCAGAAGAGAAATGCAACAGAACCCTCTTGCCCATGTTCCCCAGCCACTGCTTGCACAGCATCCTGCCTCTGATATTGAAATTCGTCATTGGCATTATTAGCCAATGAGAGCCTTATCCTTGCTGGCTTGGTCTCACTCCATCTTGCTGTAGTGATTCGGCTTCATTCCAAACACCGTGTGGACAAGTATTTCCCTTTATCTGACCTGACTCCCTAGCTTCAGGGGCTGATCCTGGCTTCTAGTGTTGGTAGGGGAGGGTCAAAATGCCTGCCTCGCCACCTTCTCCACACCATGCATAATTCTGCCCATCTCCCTCACCCATGAAGCAGGACGCAGGGCCTCACTTCAGCACCATGGACAGCTCCTTCCCACACTCAAAAGGCACTGCTGAGGTCGCCCCGTGATGCCTTCACATTCCTTCAAGGTTTTCTTTCTTTTTATTTCCATTTCTTTTTGCAAGGAGAGGGAGAGATACAGGATGGGTACTGGAAAGTGCTCCAAAGGCATCGGGATTGCTCTGCTTCCGCTTGCTGTCTGTGCCATTATTTCCAACCTCCTGCTCTACTTCCCCAACGGAGAAGTGCTGGAACCGCGCAGGATCACTGACCTGGTCTGGTTTTTCCATGGTATTCTGGGAGCTGGAATACTGGTAGGAGAAAGGGCTCGTTGTCATGATGTGTGTTCCAGTATGTTGGAAAAGGATACCTGAAGAATGTCTGTTTCATGGCCTATCTACAGAACAAACCTGTATCAGTTTTATATAAAGTTAATTGTTGTGGCTTCTTTCGTTTGTTTGCAGAGAATTCTATTGCAACTGTCCTTTATCCTATGCACAAAAATACAGTTTCCAGTGTTTCAGGGAACAGTGCTCCTGGGAAAGGCAGAGAAAATGACTATTTTTGAGTGTATTTATTGTTTGATCTTTTCCTTGTAACGTGTATCAAGTTGATTTTTGTTTTGCATTAGCCAAGATATTTGTATCCTTAGGCATGTAAGAATTATTATTATTATTACTATTGCTACATTACATTGTGCCCTTTTTCTCTTGCAAGAAACCCAAGGCAGCTTCCATGATCCTTCTTTCCGTTTAATCTTCACAACAACCCTGTGAGGTTGAGAATCTGAGAATCTGTGACTGGCCTAAAGTCACCCAGTAAGAATCATGGCTGAGTGGCTACTGGGACCCAGGTCGCCAGAGTCCCAAGGCTGCTACCAGACCACATTGTCGCTTTTATCCTTCCAAAAACCCCCAGCAAGAGGCTGGCCTGAAAGACTGTGGCACAGGGCTAGGCAAATGCATCTTTGCATTGAACATCCATTTTTTCAAATGCAAAGGCAATTGCTCTTGATCTGAGCTCACCTGAGCAGGAGATTGAACCAAGTGTACTTCTGTGACAGGTAAACTGCCTTAATGGCAGTGCACTTTTAAATGCATTGCTTACAAAGAAGTAACTATCTAGAAATATTCATAAAACAAGAGGGTAGAAACTTTGGAGCAGAATATCAGGGCCTCACTCTGCAGGAAGGTAATCAAAAGGAGCACACCTGGATTGCCACATTGTTTTTATTATTTATTTAAAACATTTATATACCTCTTATGTCACCCATGACATCTCCAGGCAGAATATATAATATTCTTTATATATATTACATATAAAGTATACATAATGTACATATATATATATAATGTATATTTTGAAGTGGAAATAATATACATTATCCTTTAAAGATCCAGGGTATAAGACTATTACATCCTACAGAGTCTAAAATTACTTACTGTAAAGACATAAATAAAGAAGGCTTGGCTTTGCCTCATTCGGAATAGGGCTTTTTGTGAAAGATCCAAACAGGAATCGCCTAAGGCCTTGTTGACTGGCGTCACACACGTACACAAAAGAGCAGCCGGAGAAGGAGCACCCATCGACCTTCCACACAATGACAGCAGCACTCTGAGAGTGGAAATCGACTGCTGTAAAGTATGTTTATTTCCTGAGAAAGGGCACAGTCAGTTTGCCAAATGGTTCGTGCCATTCACACTTGAACACCAGCTGCTTCGTGCCCAACACATGCTGGTAGCTCAGGGTGCGCACTCTCTCTCTCTCCTGGGATGATTCCCAGCATAACCTCTTGCCTCTTGATTCATGCAGAGAGGGAACGTCACTGGAATAGGTAATGGTAGTGAGAATGCACCCACTCCATCCCAAAAAATCTTGATGCAGTTAGAAACATAGAAACAGAGCAAGTCAGAGGGGTCCTCCGGGGCCATCTAGTCTGACCCCTGGCTCCAGCCAGCTCCTCTCATGACATGTCCACCATGTGCATGTCTAGCCTATCTTCGAACACCCTCACCAGATAACTGGACTGCCAGTGAAGGGCACCCTTGTTTAAATTTTGAGGCCCATTTGGCTCCAGTGGGTTATTTTTGAGGCTTTTTTTGGTGCTGGCATTATTACTGTAGTAGGAGATTAAAGCAATGACCTCCCCATCCAGGAGCCTTGTTAAAGTTAAATTGGAGGTTATAATTGTTGGTGATATCATCTATTTATTTGCGCTGATCTACTGCTTTGCAGTTAAAAGCAGCTGCTTAGTAGACTAAAAACTTTGAATGGTGACTCCTCAACTGTGCCAAGTCTCAATGTGACTTTAAACATTTTGAATGTACAAAAACTCCCCCCCACTCCCCTCTGTTTTTAAGGAGGGAAGGTGGGTGCTGTTATTTAACAGGTCAATCAAGGAGTGGAACCAGAGCCAGCTTTCTGTGCTAATTGCTCAGCATGCCGCTCTCCTAGCAAAGTACTTTGTGCGAGCAAAAGACAGGGACAATCACCAGCTCTTTAAATGAATGAGAAAGATCAAAACAAACAGGTTGTGTCCTTTGAGGCAAGTATGTGTCTTTGGAATGTGTTTAGGCAAGAAAGCGAGGAAGGGAGAAAACAGGCAGATTAGATAGGAGAGATTCCAAGGACATATCAGAATATAGGGGCATAAGAAGATCCAAACAGGGTCAGGACAAAGGCCTCTCCAGCCTAGCAATCTGCTGACTCGGTGGCCAAGCAGAAGCAGGACATGAGAGCAACTGCGCTTGCCCACGCTTGCCTCCCAGCAACCGGCCCGCAGAGGCAAACTGTGTTGGCAGCATGGACTGGAGGGAAGCAGCTGGCCTCAGGCACTCTAGAAGAATGCAAGAGAGCTGCCACGCATCATTTTCCCAGCCTTGTTTGGGATGGAGCTGAATAGTCATGTCTCCTCTGTCTGTCTGTCTTTCTTTGCAGACCAGATGTGGTGCTCACAGGTAGGAGAGGCACAGTTCCTCTGTAAACTGTAAACTAAGTGCATATACAATAAATACAGCTTGGAACTGTAGTAACTTTCCCCCCACTTCCCTTAACAATGCAAAGAACTACATGGCTTTCTCCTCACTCGTGTTTCTTGCCTCCTTCCACTTGGAAGTGTCTTCATTGCAATCCATAGTTTCCTGGAGCAGAGTCGATGGCCCGTTCAGATGTAATCATAGACCATAGTTTAGCGTTACATGAAAAATGAGCCACAAATCTCAGGTTTGAACACTCCACCTTTCCTCACCTTTCATAGAATCATATAACTGTAGAGTTGGAAGGGGCCATGAAGGCCATCAGGTCCAGCCCCCTGCTGGTGGGTTTACACCAATTTACACCAACTCACTTATGGTGTAAATTTCTGGCATGGCCACAAGGAGCAGATTGTAGGCTTTTCTTTCTATTTCAGACTAAATAGAGGAGGGTGACTATGTATCCATGGCCAAAAAAGAGGACAAAAGAGGCTGCCAATTTTCATCACCATCTGCATCATCATCATCATCGCATTCATTTATATTTACTCTATTCCTGGTAATTGGAACTAAGGGCGGTTGACAACATTAAAACTCGTATACAATTAAAAGATTTAAATATACACAAGTAAAATAATAATTAAATCATTAAAACAGAACAGATAACCAGACTAACCAACACTAACAATAAAACTGATCTAGCTCAGACTCACAGGCCATTCTCAAATGCCTGGTGGAACAAAAAGGGGTTTGCCTGCTTTTCAAACGCAACAGAGAAGGTGCCAATGGAGCCTGCCTGGGAAGGGCATTCCAGAGCCTCGGGGCAGCCACTGAGAAGGCCCTGTTCAGCATTGCCACTAAGGGTTCCTGTGAGGGTGGTGGGACCAAGACAAGGGCCCTCCCAGAAGATCTTAGAGCCTGGGCAGGCTCATACAGGAGAATATAGTCTTTTAGATACCCTGCAAATATCCCATATATTTGCATTTCACACAATATCGCATTTTCTGTGAGCTGCCCAGACTGCCCCTGGGCTACGGGGCAGCATACAAACACAATAAATAAAAATATTGGTGCTTGCTAATCTATGCATACAAATGCAAATATTGAAATGAGAATGGCACTTCGCATAGAAATACTTCTCGCCTGGTGCAGCTGTCCAGGTGATGTGTGCTCATGCTCTCTTGTGCAGGTGGTAACTGTGCAGAGCGAATGCCAAGGCCTGCTCACGCTTCTTGTGGTTGTTGCTTTGACAGAGAGAGGAGGTGGCAGAGGGAAGCGAGTGTCTCATAGCCCACCTGTGCTACATAAAGTACCCTGATACCTGCTAGCATCAAAAGATGATTCACATCCAATCGAACAGGCTTTTGTACATAGAATGGGGGACAGCACCACCTCGTTCTTTGGCCACCGCTGCTTAGGTGCCTACAGCATCAGGATCGGTTGATCCTGGCAAGAACCCCCCTCCCCACCCTGTTGGCAAATCTTGCAAGCCTGTGTGATGACTACTTTTTCAATAATTGTTTAACGTGTGTGCTTCCCTCCCAACCCAGGTTTTCTTGCCAGCATTTCTAATGTTGGGTGTAGGTGGACCAGGTTGTTGTGCCAACAAATGTACGGTAAGCAGTGCCATACACTGGGGAACGCCGACACACAGGCCTGGGGTGCGGAAACCTTAAATGGGAAATGGAAAGGTGGCAAGACAGAAAGGCATAACAGACAAGGTGCCACCAGCACCACAAAAGAAAAAGGCTGACCCAGCCGCTCACATCAGCTGATCGTGCATATAATCTCCAGAAACAGTTTTTGGGACCTTTGCTCTAATCCTGCCAGCAGCCACTGGGAATAAGGTGGCTTGATTAGTTATGGCAGGATGTTTAACTACAAGTAGTTCATGCATCTGCCTAGCCAAAGTTCTGCCAGACATTCCTTCCAGGAAAGATACAAGAAATCTTTTTCTAGCACTGTAGAGTTCACCACTATATTTAAAATCTTCTGCATGTGTTATACATAACATCTTCTGTATGTGGAGCCACGCACGCACACAATCGATCACATATATATAGAGAGAGTTGCTGAAATATGGAAACTTTTACATACTTCCCATCCAGATATACAGAAGGTATAGTCTGGAAGTGTAATTCCATAAATGCTTACCTTGACTCCAAGTGATTCAAGGAATCAAGATGATTAGTAAAAGATTACTCATGCTTGTAAAGATTGCTAACTCCCATTTGATGAACAATCCCAACATCTTTATTAGCGTCCCGAGAGTCTAACCAAAATTAAAGACTTGCAAAGATGAATGGGAAAACTGGGCCAGTTTTCCAGAACAAGATGTTCAGCCTCCCTTGTTCGTCTTTATTCTTAGCAAAGTTTAGCCGAAGAGGCAAACCAGTCTTTTCAGCGGGGAAAAAGCCCTGTTGGCCAGCAGGCACCGAGGGCAGCCCCATTTCGACACACCGCAGCTGGAAGTCTGACCATGATACGCAAATCCAAGTGGCCCATGTACCATGAGGCTAATGTAGGAAAACCTGACTAAAAAAGAATAATCCTGCCACCCTTTCTGTAATACAGGCGAGCAAGAAGATCTGTTGTAGGATAGCTTACCCCTTGGTAAGCTGGTGCCTGTATTACAGCCTTCCTTGAACTGCTGCCCTCCAGATGCTAGACAGAAATGCTGGGGGTTGCAGTCCAACATATCTAGCAGGCACCGGTTTAGAGAAGTTTGCTAGGTTAGGAAGGGCCCTGCTGGGTCAGGCCAAGGGTCCGTCTTGCCCAGCATTCTGCTCACACAGTGGCCAGCCAGAGGTCGACAGGAGACCCACAAGGAGGGCATGAGCACAATCGCACCCTCCTACCCAAATCTAGGTAGGCAGACTGCCTCTGATACTGGAGGCAGCATACAGCCATCTGGTCTGCTATTCGCTAATAGCTGTATTCTCCATGAATTTGCCCAGTCCACTTGTAAAGCCATTCAAAGTGCTGGACTTCACCACAACTTGTGGAAACGACTCTCATAATTTAACTATGCATCGCGTAAAGAAGTACATCTTCTTATCTTTCCCGAATCCATCCCACCAATCAGTTTCATGGGATGACCCCATTGGGTACTTGTATTATGGGAGAGGGAGAGAGAGGTTGCCCTATCCATAGTTTCCACGCCATGCATGACTCTCCACTCCTCTATCATTGCATCGCCTTTTTTCTAAGCCAAGCAATCCCAGCGGCTGTAAGTGTTTCGCATTAGGGAGTTGCTCCTTGATCATTTTAGCTGCTTTCTTCTGTACTGTTTTCAAGTCCAGGATATCTTTCTTCAGGGCTGGTAACCAGAACTGTACACAGTATTCTGAGTGCCACTCCAGCACAGATTGGTATAGAGGGAGTAAGACCTTGGCAGTCTGATTTTCAATTCCTTTCCTAATTATGCCCAACACAGAGTTTGCCTTTTTCTCAGAAGCCAGACATGCAGTTGACATTTTCAGCTCGGCTCAGTATTGGCCTCAGATGTAAGGGAGGGTCTTACTAAGCTTACATCCAGACAGCGGGGCTGTTGTTGTTCTTTTCCATCAAGTCCTCTCCAAGGTAAGCTGCCCCTAGGAGAGAAAGCCCTGCAGAATGCCCTGCCCTTCACAAGCCTACCCAACTCTGGCAAACTCCAGGCAGTCACTTCCTTAATGGAGTTGATCCATTTCATATTTGGTCTTCCCCTTCTTCTGGGTTCAACTTTCCCTTACACCACTGTCTCCCCCATGGAGTCTCGTCTTACTCATGATGCATCCAAAGTGCGACAGCTTCAGTGCTGCCATTGTTGCTTCCAGTCTGTTCATATAGACCAAGCTCCAGCTCTGGTAGACACTGCAGGGGTACCTGGACGGGATGCTGGATGCGTTAGAATGGCCTGTGCCCATGACGGCAAGCCGCTTTCCTAAAATCCACACCCCTCCGCCCGCCTCGTCTCCACTGGGTGTGCCATTCAAATGAACTGTGCTTACCTGTGCCTGCATACCTATCCAAAACAGTATGCCATGTAGTATTTCCACATTTCTTTTCTCTTTCCCCGACCTCTTAAAACTCATATGCATCTTGCACTTCCAAATTCGGAGGCCTGTATTTTAAAATATTTTCCCTTAAACTGTCGGAGTTGTGGAATGAGCCTGCGCATCCCCTCCCTGCCAATAATCTAGATGGGGTTTGGTGCAGCAGAAGCAGTGGGGGGGGGCAGAAGGAGGGGGGCAGCACGGAACCTCCAGTGCCTGTCACTGTATGGATGGGCCCGTGGCCTCCCTTCTCCTGCACAGCACTGAAATTTGCTGACTCTGGGGGCAAACCCCCATTTGCTTTTGCTGCTGCTGAGTTTGCTGCGGAGCCATAGCAGCCGCAGGAGCGCTGTGGCCCACCATGGGGTCAGCCTGGGGTGGCCCAAAGCATCTCCAGAAGTTGCCCAGTCTTGCATTACATGCAAAGGGGTGTCATTCGGGTTTGTTTGCTCCTGCTGAAAACAAAGCGGTTTGGGTGGGGTACAGCCCGGGATGAACGTGCATGATTAGGACTGGGGAGGCAGGAGAGAAGAGGCAGCTTGGACCTTTCCTTGCTCCAAATCACGTACACCTCAAACTGCTCTGCCTCCGATGGTATGTTCGCCTCTGACCCCAGGGGGTCTTTCCCTGTTCCAGGTGGTGCTCTCCATCCTCTTTGCTATCTTGGGGGCTGCTGGAGGAGTCTACTGTGTGATCATCTCATCCTTGGGGCTGATCAGTGGTCCCCTCTGTGACGTCGGTGGGGATGTGTACATCTACCCTTTCAGGAATGACACTTGGGTGTGAGTATGCCGGAGCATCCCTGCTTCCATCCACAATGTTGCATTTCTGGTACTAGACCTCTGGAGACCCTGCAGCTGCAAGGATGGGGCCGCTATATCGCCTGCTTCCCTCTTCCCTAGGTCTTTTGTTCACTCCCATTTCCCCAGGGCTGTAGCAAGCAGGGCTCCAGGATTTCAGGGGAGTGGATGGGAGGACAGGAAGGAGATGACCAGGAAAAGCCATGCCTGCTCTCCCTCCTGATGTAGCAATGCATTTAAATGTATGTGATAATCCCCAGTAACAGTGCTGTTGGCAGGTTCGGAAAGGCCTGGGCAAGAGACCCTCTGCCCATCCACACCCCTGCTCCATCCTGGACTCCTCCCCTGCACTGCACTGGCCCCTGCTCCCAAGCCAACCTGAACTAATTCCCCCCCAAATACACATTCTATTCTCTTGTTTATCCCCATCAATCCGTCTATTCTTTCCCCCTTCCATAAGTTTACCAGGTAGCAGGAAGAAGGGGGTCCCTTTTGATTAGTCATAAATCTGGGGCACTTCCAGGAAAATAGAAATAATCTGCAATGCACACGAGCCGTTAGATTCTCCAAATGCTTCTTAGAACTGTAGAATCCAGTCTGATCTGCTGATCCTTCCAGACATCAAGAGTGAAAATCTCCCCCTTCCAAGGCTGGAATATTTTTTCAACCTCATATATTAGTTGACAATTTTTTTCAATGTCTAACCTTTACCATTGTCTCCTTTGTGCTCATGATGTTCTGAACCAACCTTTATCTATTGTCACATATCCTTGGCTATCTTCCACCAGACTTGGAGGATTTGCAAAAAACATTTATCCTTGTGCAGGAGCATGTCTACAGCCCTTTGAGGGGCTTGGATGACATTGGAGCCGTATAATTAGGGATGTCACCCAATAACAGAATTTGAGCCAATTAATCACATTTTAGTGCATCATTGAGTAATCGATTGCATGTAAATATACTTACGTATGAGTAAAACAACAGTTCTTTGCTTTTAGAAGATGAGCATACAAGAGACTTTCCCCTCCCCCTTATGAACTTGGAAGATGCATTTCAGGCCCAGCCCAATTGGCTTGAGGCGAACAAGGTGTCTCTGCCTCCCATTCCATGCCTGAACTGGCAATTAAATCATTCTTTTGCACCGAAGCTGGGACAGCCTCCTCTTCCAGCCAGCAGCAAGCTGGTTCAGGCACCAATGAGGCAAGTTGCCCAGCACACAAATTTCTCCTCCCAAATGCTGCCAGCATCTCCCAGCAGCTGCCTCACTCCAGCTAATGGTAAGGCCAGCCCTGGGCATTTCCTCCTAATGAGAAAGGCCTCACCTCTCACTTAGGAGGGGCTGCCTCTTGCACAGGTGCTTCCAGACAGAGGACTTCCTCAGAAGGCGCCATGTAGCTGCTCCATCTTTCCTTCCTTAATGGATGCAATACGACCAAAAGATGGACGAAAAGGTGGGAAAACTTAGAAGGGCTACATGGGGAAGTCAATGACATTTGGAGCACTACAAAATTCCATGCATAAGAAAGGGTGATAAAAAACCTTACCTGGAAGTAACTTAAAGGGGGGCTTGCCCTCTTCAGTGTTTACACACACACACAAATAACCTGCTGCTAAGTTAATGAGGCCAACTTCTTAGTCAGCGAGAAAGGTGTAGCGCTGTGCATGCTGAGTCAGGAAAAGCTCCTACGGCTCCTTGTCCCCCAGCCAGGGCTTTTTCTGTCTAAACACGCACAGGACCAAGCCCTGGGTGACGGAACATAGCAGCCATGCCTGTAATGGCAGCATCTCGCCACATGAGGGTGCCAATTCTGTTAGTCCTCCGCGTGAGGCTGCCTGATGCTGGATGGAGAGTCAGAGGGTGGCTGTACAGAGACTTTCTGAGCATTTGACTGGAAAAGCTGAGATGGTCTTAGTATATTCCAGGCAAATGGGAACCTGAGCACCTCTCCCTGTACTTGCAAGTAGGGAGGGAAATTCATTTGATAATTTCACACTTTAGAACTAATACATAAGCAGAAACTCAGTTATCCTTATAAATTTGCGCTCCTCCAATCAAACACAAAATTGCCCTATATTAGGGGAAAATGGCACAGAATGGATGAATGAAAATAACATTTTAAAGTGCAGTATATTAGAATTGCTTGCAAAATGGTGTGCTATTTAGGCAAAATTTTATACAAATCTGCATCAAATCTGCATGCCGGGGGTTTGAAGTTGTAGCCACAGCAAAGTGGATCAGATTCTGGAGAATCAAGTCTGCAGAATCTGACAGATGCTCACCTCCAAAAGAGATTCCTCTCACAGCCCTAATGACAAGGTCTAGCAAACAAACTTTAAGTTTCAGAAAAAGCTTACCTATGTATCTGGCTGATGTTCTGCTTTCCCCACCTTCTGGAGCCAGGTGAGAATGCATTGAACTCTTATTAACAATGTGCCTTTTAAATGGGACATTTCCTTAAAAATACCTCCCAAACATTTCTGAACCTTCCCTTTGTAGAGACAACTATCTGTTTAACCAGACAAGCTGGAGCATTTGCAAAACCCCTGAAAACATTGTCCTTTGGAACACGATTCTGTTTTCCCTCCTGTTGGCCATCGGAACAGCAGAAGCGATCCTCTGCCTCGCTCAGCTTGTCAACGTGCTTGTGGGGGCCGTAGGCAGCTCATGCTTGCGGAAAAGGAAGGTGAGTGCTGATTTTCGAAAGCAAGTCACCAAAAGAGGTATTTCAAATAACAGCACATCGTCCACCTGTGGGATTAATTGCTTGAGCAGAGGCACTGCTGCTGCCCTTCCTGAGCTAGGCTGAGCTAGGCTTCCTCCCTTCACACATCCAAGCCACAGACCTTTCTTGCAAAATGTTCTTCATTGATCAAAGTGTATTCCAGATGTGCAAACACCCAGAAGGAGTCTCTGAGCATGCGCAGAGTGGTTCGTTGAACACAATCCATATTCACCTGCAAGAACTCTCCTTATGAGCATGCCAGGGCCCCTTCCCTTTGGGAGGGGGCTTTTGGAAATGAGCCCACCTCCCCTCTACATGCCGGTCCTCTAATTGAGCCATCCTGCTCTGCTGACAATCCATCCGGTGGTCAAGAGCTGTGCTCACCTGGCCTGAATCTGAGAAACTCTCCTGTTCCTTCCCACCAGCACTGCCTCTGGGTTCTTTCCCCACCTGGGGAATCTCACCATGAGATCAGCATCTCTCCTTCTGGCATCTCAGAGTCCTGGAATGGCCCACAGTCCCAGGCTTCCTCTTGCACCCTCCTCCTCCTCCTGCTTCTTCTTTGTTGACCAGCCAGCAGACGTGTGCCCCAAGCAGCCAACTTTCTCACTCCCCACATTGGCCCACATGGCCTTTTAACAGCCAGGGAGGCTGAGTGGCTGGCTGGTTTCTCTGCCACAGGTGCAATCCTGCTCTCCCTCTGGCATTGCAGGAGCACCGGGGAATCTGGTCCCACCATGCAAAGTGCCTCTTAGGCACTTTGACCACTGTCGTCAGCTGGGGTCCCTTGGCCAGAGTGGCAATAAAGGACTCCAGCTCCAATTTTTGGCTTGGCCGTGGCTTAGTGTGTCATCCAGGTTCACACTCCAAGCTGTGAAGGATTTTCTAAGCACTACAATAGAATCATAGAAGAGTAGAGTTGGCAGGGGCCATGAAGGCCATCGGGTCCAACCCCTTGCTCTTGCAGGACACCGCATTACACCATCCCACTCAGATGGCTGCCCAGTTTCTCCTTGAATGTCTCCAGTGTGGGAGAGCCCACCACCTCTCCAGGCAGCTGGTTCCAGTGTGTATTCATCTGACAGTGAGGAAGCTTTTCCTGATGTCCAGTCTGAATCTGAGTTGTTGCAAATGGACTTGATTATTCCATGTCCTACACTCTGGCGTTAGCAAGAAGAGATCTTGTCCTTCCTCTCCGTGACAGCCTTTGGGGTACTTCTAGAGGGATATCATACCCACCCTCAGTCTTCTCTTCTCAAGGCTGAACATGCCATGGCTAGTTGGGAGGGTGTACAAGCCACCTCAGGGTAGCTTAGAAACCATGCCAGGGGAGGCGGCAGAGTTCATGCACATGCTAACCCAACCCCCTGGTGGCTTAGCAAACCTTGTAAATAAGCCAGAGTGGGGTTATTAAACCCTATAACAAGCCATGGCTAGTTAGGGTGGCCACAGCCATGGCTATACCCTGCAGGGGAGGGGCTTATAAACCACCCTGTGGGAAAACCGCTGAACAGCATGTTCAACCCCCATAGCTCTTCAAACTATGTTGCGCAAACCTGGCTTGCATGCAGTAGACCATGTGCCGGGATCCCAGCGTCCTGTAGAATCCTGTTCGTATCTGTTGCTTTGACAAAAGCCTGCCAATAAATATCAGTTTGAATCCAGCTGCACCCATCAAGTTACAGAAGGACTTTTGTTCAGTGAAGGTCACTCTGCTAAAGAAAGAAGGCAGGCAACGGCTGACAGTTTCTCCTTCTCTTTTAGCCCAGTGTTCTCCCCAAAAACTCCTCCAGGGGTCTGAGCATCCAGGTGCCACGGGTGCTTCAGATGAAGAGGTCACAGGGAAAAAATGTTTCTCCTCTTCAGTTAGCTGAGGCCTTTGCTAGATCAAAGACACTACTCAGTACAACCGACCTTCTGCAAAAAATCAAATCATCTGGTCATAACCTTAACTCATTTCTCTCTCTCTTTGCTTTATTGTAGACCGATATCGCAGGCGTGTGACCAACTGCAAAGAAGGGTGATTCCAAGCAACAACTAGACACAACAATGTGTGCAGTCCGGATAGTGTGTGTTGCTGTATATTTATAGGAAGAAGAACCACAGAAGATACTTATAACTATGGAAATAATCCAAAACATATATGAGAAACACAATTCAGAATGAAATGGTCATGTGCTTTGTTTAAGATTTTCTGAGTTTATACTTTAGTTTTATCTGGTTCCCCTTTGAAATCAAAGGGTACACAAAGAAACTAACCAAGAATAATGTGGAAACGTTTTAAAACTCAGGGTTACCCAGTAAAATTTCCTGGTACCTGGTGTTGGGAAGATTTCTTCATTTGTAGTAGTGCTAACTCAGTTGATGCCTCGCCAGATAGAAAGGTGCTGGCCACCCACTTAAACAGATGTTATTAAAAATAAAAATAGGTACATTTATGGAGGATAGCTCCATATACCCTATGGAGGAGGGTATTATAAGTAAACAGCGTATTTGAAGGTAGTATCATCTAATAGCAAGCGTAGCTCATAAGCACCAACAGGATTGTAGCCAAAATAAGACCACCGAGAAAAAAGCTGAAGGTATCAACATGCTTGGAGCAAAGCAAAGAAAAGAAAAACTGAACTTTTGGGGAATCTCTAACACCCCACACAAACCTTTCCACCCTACACACACCCCAGTGAGGACTGCGTATGCCCAATGGCTGCAGAATGATGAGTCTCTGCTGAAGGGTGAAAATCAAAAACCTGCGATGGGGAGCAGGCAGAATCCCAGCACAGAGTATGGCTGACTGACTTGACTTCAACAGGCTGCAACATTTTGCTGCAGTTTTCACTCGTTCCTTCTGAAGCTAAATTTGGGTGGTCTGCGGCTTATTCACTTGGCAAGGAAACGAGGCGGTCCAAAAATACAGGTTGCAGTTTCAGCATATTTGAGGGACTTCCCAAGTATGTGGAAATGTATTCACAAATTAAGAAAACAATACTAACCCCCCCCAGTGCTCTGAATTGGCACGTGGAGAGGCTTGGAAGGCAAATGGGGCCGTACCAGGCTCTCTCCTAAAGGCAGAAGCACGGCTGGTAGGTGGTGTGCTCCAACACAAGGGGCAGTTTAAAAATGCCACTCTTCCAGAGGAAAAAAAAGACTTCCTCCCAACACACCCACACACCTCCATCATGGTTTGTGCAAACCACCAGGCTGTGAACACCGCGGCAGATCTCCCTTGTCACGCCTCCGTCACACACCACTTGCAACTGCTCTGCTCAGCTCCAGTTCTGTGCACACCTACCTCACTTCTGTGCGCATTATGCACACTTACCTCCATGGAACTTATGCCTAAGATCAATCATGTGGTGGCAATTTGTCAATCCAGAGCAATTAGCAAATGTAAAGTCATAAGCAAATGAAAAGAAAAATGCAAATCAGTGGGCTGGATCCAGATTTAGTCCTACTTGCAGTGGGTAGGTTTCCAAGGCACAATTAACTACCATATGAATAGGCTACACTGTGTGACTTGTTTGCAGAACAACCCCTGGTGCACCAAGCAGATGAGCAGGTTTGCCCTGGCTCCTTCCCCTTCAATCTCCCAGCTGCTAACCCACTGTCCTTGTGGCAGGACTTGTCTTCTCTCTCTCCCCGTTATGAAGAAATAAAATAAAATCTGAACCTCAGGAATGCAAATTGGTGTTGAGTTTTTGGTTATTTTTGGTGAGGGCTTTGGTCCTAGAAAACTTTGCAAAAGTATTCTTATTGTTTCACAAGTGTGTTCTTCAGGCTGTCCAATAGGTGTAGATTTCTGGTCAATTCCCTTGTTTCACCTGTCCATGGGAATAATAATCGGTACTGAAATTGACAAGGATGTAAGGTAATTTGCACACAATTGCCAGGGATCAATTTCTGAGCTAAATTACTTTTGGTCCCCATATGTCTACTTTCTAGAAGTGATGTTTATTCAACCAGAAGATAAATCCACAGTTTGGGTTCTATTTACACCCCACCCCATCCTGAATATTTCAGGACAGTAGAAACTGTTTTGTCTGGCTTAAATGGGGCAGAACATTGTGCCTTGTCTACAACGTCATGGCTGTACCTTGCATTTTTTCACATGGAAGATGTTATGGAGTTACTGTACAAATACTGTGCTTGTAACTACTAATGGCAATATTGCATTGCTCTTATACTTTTCTTACCTTTGACCCGGATGTAATAATAAGACAGTGCTTCATGACTCCTCGGACTAACAGCTTGCAGTGTTGTCTGTTTTGTACATGAAACATGGTGTCAGAAGTGACTTGAATCTGGATAGAGCCTCTTGTTTGGAGTGCAGCAGCCCCTGGACACAGCACTGATTTGTGAGTTACAGTTTGAGACCGTTCACAGTGCGTTTTCTGCTCCTGGAGGGCTGTGAGGCCTACCAACCACATGGCTGCCATGAATTGCATACCTCCCCCAGAGGGGATGAAAATCAGTGGGAATTGTAGTAGCAACTGGGAAGCTTTCAGAGCTGAATTGGAGAACTATTCCCTGGCTACAGGGCTGAATGTGAAACCTGCGGCAGTGCAGGCAGCCACTCTGAGAAGAGTCATGGGCAGTGAAGGCAGGCATGTGTATAAGCACAATCTGAACCTCTCAGCAGAGCAGCAGGAGAATGTTACAGCCATTCTGGATGCACTAGAAGCTTATTTCAAACCTGCTAAAAATGTCATTTATGAAAGATATGTGTTTGGATGCTGCAAACAAGAGGAGGGAGAATCCCTTGACAACTTTGTTACTCGCTTACGAGAAAAAGCAGCAACTTGTGAATATGGCACCCTGAAAGATGAACTAATATGGGACAAAATTGTTCTTATATATTATTATTATTATTATTATTATTATTATTATTATTATTATTATTATAACATTTCTATGCCTCCCCTTGCCGAAACCTCGGGGCGGCTTACAACATGATAAAATACATTGAAATACAATAGTACATATATCTAGTGAGAGCACACGCAGGTGTCTTCTAAGAGAGCGCAACTTAACGCTAAACACAGCTATTGAAACGTGTCATACAGCAGAGCTCACTGACAGACATCTGAAAGTGATGGAACAGGACAGACAGAGTGACAGCAGAAACACTGCAATGCAGCGAGGGCACATAAGCAAACCGCAAGGACAGCAACACATGCTTAGCGCAGATACTGCCAACTCTACAGCATGCAAATATTGTGGGACCGTGCATCAAAGAATTAAAGAGCAGTGTCCAGTATATGGGAAGTTTTGTAGGTCTTGTGGAAGAGCAAATCATTTCGCTAAAGTTTACTTGTCAAGTAAAAAACAAGTGTCATCTGGGAAATTACACACTATGGAGGATGCGCCTGCATATGAGGAGGAGCCACGCATCGCTGAAATGATATACAGCAGTGAATTAATCGGTGCTCTGCAATCCAGAGGAAAGAAATGGTTTGTCACTTTAATATTGAATAATAAGCCTCAATCCTGCCAGCTCGATTCGGGAGCGACATGTGATGTGATGTGCTTGAGAAACAAAATGACATTAGCACCGGAAGTACCTCTACTGCCAAGTGACACCAAACTAAAGTTATACTCAGGTGAAATTATGAAATCTCTTGGACTGTTCAGGACAGAATGTGCCGTACGTGGACTGACACACAAGCTAGAGTTTGAAATTGTGGAAGCTTGCCAAAAGCCACTGTTGTCTGGCTCAACCTGCGAGTGTCTGGGCCTGATGCATTTCTCCATCCCTGCAGAGCTCAATGCGATGGACAATCAATTTAAAGGGCCCTTGACAAAACAACTGTTACTACAGGAATTTGGTGATGTTTTTACAGGGCCTGTTAAATCTGTTCTGGGGGAAGTTCATTTTGACCTTGATGTGAATGTCCTTCCAATCCAACGTGCACCATGCAATGTGCCAGTGGCCTTGAAGAGGCAGTTAAGGCACAGCTTGACCGGTATGAGGCTGATGGTCATATCGCACCAGTGACTGAACCAACTGATTGGATTAGTAATATGGTGATTGCAAAGAAGCCTGATAAGCTAAGGATATGTATAGATCCCAAATTTTTGAACCAGGCACTGAAACGATCTCATTACATAATGCCAGCTCTCGAGGATGTTTTGTACAAGCTGCCTAAAGCTCGTCTGTTCATACTTGTTGATGCCTGGGACACATTTTTACAGTGTAAGTTGGATACTGCAAGTAGCTACATGACAACCTTCTGGACTCCCTGGGGCAGGAAAAGGTGGCTCAAACTGCCTTTTGGAGTCTCAGTTGCACCAGAGGTGTATCAACGTAAACAACACGAATTATTGGCCGGACTTAAAGGTATTGAGTCAATAGCTGATAACATACTTGTAGTTGGCTGTGGTGATACAGATGGAGAAGCAGAGCAAGATCATGATCGCAAACTGCTGGACCTGTTGAATCATTGTAGGCAAGTGAAACAGACTTGGCGTGAAAAACTGCAGTTCAAGGTCAAAGAGGTCCGCTTTCATGGTCATATCCTTTCAGTGGTGGGTTTGAAGTCTGACCCAGAAAAAATCAGGGCCATACTGGATATGCCGCAGCCGGAAAAATGTGAAATCTCTGCAGCGCTTCATAGGATTTGTTATCTGTTTGGCAAAATTCCTACCGTGTCTCTCAGAAGTTTGCGAGTCTTTGAGAAGGCTTCTGGACAAAGATGCTGTTTGTCATTGGCTTCCTAAGCATGATAAGGCGGTGCAGGAAATCAAACGTTTGGTCATGGATACACCTGTCCTTAAATAATATGATGTTACAAAACCGTTAACTATTCAAAGTGATGCAAGCACAAATGGACTTGGGTGTTGCCTGTTGCAAGCTGGACAGCCTATTGCTTTTGCTTCAAGGGCACTGACCCCTACAGAGCAAAACCATGCACAAATAGAGAAGGAATGTCTGAGTATTGTGTTCGCCTGCCAGAGCTTTCACCATTATCTTTATGGTCATGACAAGATCACGGCAGAAACTGACCATAAGCCTCTGATATCTATTTTCAAGAAACCGCTTTTGTGTGCACCTAAGCGCTTACAGAGCATGTTGCTCACGTTACAAAACTATTGTCTCAGTGTGGTTTATAAACCTGGACCTGAAATGTACATCAGTGACGCTGTTAGCAGAGCTACTGCAGCAGGTGGTACATTTGAATGTACACAACACACAGTTTGCAATGTCCAACAGGACCTGGATGCCCTGTCACAGATTAATCATTTAGACTATTTAAATGTCACAGACCAGCGACTGCATCAGATAAAACAGAACACAGAAATTGACAAGAGTTTGCAGGTACTTAAATCTGTTGTTCTGAATGGCTGGCCAGATTCAAAGGAAGAGGTGCCATTAATTGTGAGAGAATACTGGACTTTCAGAAATGAAATTGGCATTCAGGATGGCATATTTTATAAGGGGCCAAGAGTCATCATTCCTAAATCTTTGAGGTCGGTGATGTTGAAACATATTCATGCCAGTCAAATTGGTGGAGAAGCATGCTACAGGCAGGCACAAGATACCCTTTACTGGCCCAGCATGCAGAATGAGATTAGAGACTTGGTTAGTCGTTGCTCAGCATGCAATGAGTATGCACAAGCACAACAGAAAGAACCCATGATGTCACATGTGCTGCCCACCTGGCCTTGGCAAATTCTAAGTATGGATTTACTGAATTATGTGGGGTAAGATTTTTTATTAATTGTTGATCACTATTCTGACTGTTGGGAATTTGAGCTCCTTCCTGACCTGTCTGCTGAAACTACAATCAGGAACTGTAAAGTACAATTTGCACGTCATGGCCTACCAGATAGGGTAATCTCGGATAATGGACCCCAATTTGCATGTGAGCAATTCAGAAGGTTTTCTACAGATTGGGGATTTGTGCATGTTACCTCATCCCTGCGGCACCCACAAGCTAATGGCAAAGCAGAATCAGCTGTAAAGATAGTGAAGAACCTTTTCAAAAAGTCCAAGTATGATGGTAGTGACCCATGGAAGGCCGTTCTACATTGGAGGAACACCCCGACTGAAGGCATGGACAGTAGTCCTGCACAGCGTTTGATGTCAAGGAGACTGAAGACATCATTGCCTGTGGCCCACAAACTGCTCGAACCTTGTGTGGTTACAGGTGTTCTGGAGAAATTGCGACGGAGGAAACAAATCTCCAAACTGACATACGACATGTCTGCCAAAGATTTACCAGAACTAAGCATTGGAGAGCCAATCTGTATGAAGCCACTTCCTGGCAACAGGACTGGTCGCTGGAGACTGGGTACCTGTGTTCAGAGGGTTGCCCCTCGCTCTTATGTTGTGGATGTGGATGGCAGTCTCTACCGTCGCAATCGAGTGGATCTGCGAGTGGCAGAACAATCCACCTCACAAGCTTATGAGAGTCCTGCTCATGATTCTCCGGAGGTGTTCAATGCCCCTAGTCCTGCTGGACCAAGTAAGCAATATAGAGACAAGGCTACTGTCATATCTGAAGGAAACAGTGAGGATGAAATAATGCAACCACATATACCAATAAGTTCTTCTGTACCAAACACACCACTCAGGAAACAGGACAGTTTCTTATCAACACCTTCTGGAAGTAAACAGCCTTCACCAGGCAAATTCCCTGTGGCCTTGCGAAGCGGCCGAGTTTCAAGACCTCCAGATAGACTTAATCTGTAGACTATTTACTAATGGTACAGTACGTTATGTTTAAGATTGTTTGGGATCTGTTTTTAGGCTAATTGTTTACTCACTGTTGAATCATATGTAAAAAAGGGAAGTTGTTGTGGAGTTACTATACAAATACTGCGCTTGTAACTACCAATAGCAATATTGCATTGCTCTTGTACTTCCGGTTCCTGTATAAGAGCAATGCAATGCACCTTTGACCCAGATGTAATGATAAGACAGTGCTTCATGACTTCTTGGACTAACAGCTTGCAGTGTCGTCTGTTCTGTACATGAAACAGCAGATATGTGATATAGTTCTCAAAGATCTCTTAGACAAAGCACATAAGTTTGCTGCTCAAATTGGGATCCACCAACGGGAATTTGTCAGTTTCTGAGAACTGAAGAAAATGGGTTTGAACGTAAGTGGCTTGGTGGCTTTGGTTGTATTTTATCTCCTGACTTTAGCCACTGGAATATGGGCTTCTCGGAAAACTAAAAAGGAGAAGAGCCAGAAGCCCAGTGAAGTAGCCATCGTAGGAGACAGAAACATGAACTTTTGCATTGCACTGTTCACAGCGACAGGTAAGTACAAACATTTCTTCGTCTTTACTGCCTCAAATAGCAAAGTTGGGTGGCAATTACTGACAGGAACTGAGCCAAAACAGCTGCTGAAAAATAAGAAGGAAATATCAGCACATTTAGGGGACCCCAAAATTTGCAGAAATGCCAAGAAAAACCTTTAAAGCCATAAATAAGAAGATAAATCTAAGGGGATACCTACACTCAGCAAAACAGTCCAATTTGGATTAGACAGGCTCAGGAGCCATGGGACATTGAGTACCAGTAGGAAAGAAAAATGGAATATAGGGAAGCTGGTGGAATGTCCAGCTTGAGCTCTTTATGAAGGCATGGACTGGTGGCAGGAATGCTCAGTGGGAACACTCCTGCTTGTAGCTCAGCATGGGCTGCAACATTTTGCTGTGTGTTTTATTTTTCATAGCACGGTCATCTGGGGAGCTGGATTGGGTCCACAGGCGGGCTGGATTTGGCCCATAATTCTTCGTGTGTGTGTGTGTGTGTGTGTGTGTGTGTGTGTGTGTGTGTGTGTGGCTTCAAGGAGAATAGCCATCCAATTTTTCCACTAGAAAAAATGGGAAATTTGGGGAAATAGTGCAATCACAAAGAATACCTATTGAGGATTGTCTTTCCCAAGGACAGAGTCAACGTCTTTCTTCGCGGATTTTTCCCTTTTCCTTCCAGGTTCCCCCCACTCCAATAGCCACGGAAATTTCCACAGCATCTTCTCTGCAAGGGATTTTGACCCTGTAATGGGGAAACCTACAAGACCAGGCTCATTTTTCTGCTTCAGAGTCTCCCAGTCCATTAAACTGGCTTTCCTTGACCTGGTGCCCTCCTGGTTGCTTATGCACATCATTATGTATAAATTCAAATTTAGAAGGCACAACTATAATTTAGATAGGGATAAAAACCCTCACTATATTAGGGGAAGAATGTGACCAGGTGATCTATATACCTACACAGTCCAGGTTCTCACTCTGATCAGCAGCTCCTGGGGACCTGCTTCTCTCCCATCTTAGGGCTGTTCAACGTTAAACCAGGGTATGATTTGGCAGCTGATAAAAGACAAAATGTGCAAATAGAGGACTGTCCTCTGACAGCATTTCAAACAAAGGGTTGTAAGGTAGGCCACCTGCCCACCCTTGTGTGTTAACCCAGTAAACTGCATAATTTTCCAATATCCAATTATTATGCTTCAACAATGAAGACTCAAAATTATTCCTTCTTTGTAGGTCGCTCTACGAAAGACAGCAGTGGGGTCATTTGGGGAAAGGGGTTTCCAACAGAGAATTATCTGCAGCATTCCTACTGAATCCCGACCCCCAGGATTCAATGTAGGAGGTCAAGCCCATGAAACTGATAGTACACACCACATGTTTTCAGCATAGATAATACTTGCTAATACCTCATTCCTTTCTTTTGTTTTCTTTCAGCAACGGGGGTTGGAGGAGCATACATCAATGGCACAGCAGAACTAGTCTATCTTCCTTCAAGAGGACTAGTGTGGGTTCAAGCCCCTGTAGGATTAGCTTTGTCTCTCCTTGTTGGTAAATACTTTTTTCCTTGATGTTTGAATACATAATCATTTACTTGTTAAAAATCTGGTTGGTTATTCCTCCATGCTCTGTTTGGAAATACATACAAACTTATCCAAACCTTATATTTTGAACATGCTAAATATTGCTTTTCTTGTGGATTTTTCTTGTTCATGTTTACTGCATTTCACTTTTTGGAGGAAAGGTGGGCTGTAGAACCAGAACGAAAACTCATGAATCACAAAAAGAAGGGTATGCATCATCAAAAAAGAGGGCAGTGCTTTGCGGGGTACTTCTGCATACTTATATATATTCGTAGGTGCACAGTTAGAGATAGTTATAAATTAACTAAAAACACTACCCTGGAATCATAGAATAATGGAGTCAGAAGGGATCAGAGGGTGATCAGGTTCAAGCCCCTGCTCAGCGCATCCCTGTCAGATGGCTGCCCAGTGAACCTGGAGCACCCGCTTTGTGGAAGAACCCACAGTTTCGCAGGGTCACTGGTTGTACTGCTCTGCCAGTCAAGCAGCTTTTCCTGAGGTTCAGTTAGAGTTAGGACCTGGCCTCCTGTTATTTTGTGCCTTGCCCTCTCGAAAAGAGATCCTGGCCTTCCTCTTTGTGACAGCTTTTCAAGCACTTGTAGAGTGCTATCATATCCCCCCCACCCCAGTCTTCTCTTCTCCAGGCTTAACATGCCCAGTTCTTGCAACCTCTCCTCACCGGGCTTTGTTTCCAGTCCAAAACATCATCCTTGTTGCCCTCCTCTCAACCCTTTCTGACTTGTCTGCATCTTTCCTAAATTGTGGGGTGCAGAACTGGACACAGGACTCCAAATGAGGCCCAAGCAGGGTTAAGCAGAAGGAACTAAAACATGACGCGATTTGGAAGTTACACTTCTCTTCATGCTGCCTAAAATAGCATTTGCTATTACTTCTCACCATAGTGTGGAAGAGTGACCAGGATGGTTCCTTCTTTTGGTCACTCTCCTAACACTAACTAGACAACAGTTCTGATGGCTTCTTATCTTAAACATTGGTTTCTTTCCCCTAGAAGAGAAGGGCAAATGGACAGCCCGTCGCATGCAAAAGTGATGGCAATATGACTGATTTTTCAACAGGTGGGCTCTTCTTTGTCAAGCCAATGAGAACAAGGAACTATGTGACCCTGATGGACCCAATCCAAGAGTCCTATAGGAATGTGATGGCAAGTCTGCTGTTTATTCCACCACTGATAGCAGATGTGTTCTGGTTTGCAGCCATTCTTGCTTCCTTAGGTACCTAAATGTCTCTTGCTGTTATTATGAACTGAACCCGGCGGAGCCTCTCCTTAGCCAGAGCATGGTCAGCAGAAGCTGGTTTCAGATCCCTCAGGCAGTTTATTGAACTCTGGAGGCATTTTCAAAAGCATCAAGTGCTTTAATTCAGCCTGTGAACCTTCATGGCCCTCAGCTCCACTCTAGCTGATTGACACTCGGACAGCCGGTTATATAAATGGGGGAACTGAGGGAATGAGCAGTGAAGTGAGTTGCCCTAAATAATTTAGTGACGAAACAGAGAGCGGGCATGTTTCCCAGCAGAGGGTTCCTAAGCAGTGGAAGCTGCTCTCTCCAGTGTCAGTGGAAGCCATGCCTCTGCTCTGGGTTGCAGTGGACGGTTAAGGAGTGTTCCACATGAGTTTTGACCGTGGATAGCTACTTTACAATTCAGACTAACATCAGGAATGGATCCACAGCCCCACTGACACTGAAGTTGTTTGGTTGCACTGGTTCCTGTTAGAGGCATAGGGTCTGGGCTTAGACTCTGGGGCCAAAATGAAGATTCCTGTATCTCAGCCAGAGACAGGCAGCTGGTTACAGGAACAGGCACTTTGCCCTGCAGTCCATGGAGCTAGCAATTCATCACAAGAATTGCTCATTTTTCTCAATTCCGCTGCTATGCAGTGCCACCTAGTGGTCATGTTGTGGAATGTGTAGACAGGAGCTGAAAGAAACCCCCAGGGTGCCGGGAAGACACATGGAAAGAAAATGATCTTGGGAAAGTGGCTGCTTCAAAGCCTCTCCTGTGGAGAAGCTGTTAGTCACTGCTAGGCCCTGTAGGCATCAGTTTGTATGCAGGATTCGGGGACAAAGAAGCAATGGTGATACGCCCTCTATTTCTGAAAATTGGTGGGCTGTTTCCTAGATTTGTCTTGGAAGAAACATTCAGCCTCCTGGGAATGCAGAAAGTAAAGAAAAACATGTTTTTATGAGCTTTACACAGGGCATTTATTGTACTTTAGCGATCTTTTACTAACTGGTTTACCGACTCTTTAGGCAACTTCATATTCTTCCAGTTACACTTCTGTTCTTTTCAGAGTTCTTCCCTGGGAAAATGAGAAAAGGGAGTATTATATTAAAAAGGGGAAATGAGAGAAGGGGGTATTATATTAGAATGGGGCAAATGGTGCTGTTTCTCCTTGAGCCATTCTGTTGTAGTGTAGTGCCACCTTGAGGTTATGTAGTGGAAATGCAGAAAAGGAAGAGTGAACTCTAGACTCCTGGTTACAATGAAACCAAAAGTAGATGTAATGATTAACAGCCTTGTGTAAAAAAAATCCCCATATTAGCAAAGCTAGACATTAGCTTTGGGTGGGGCACCTGACAAAAAAGTCAATTAGCAGCTGGAGCAAGTAGAATCCACGAAATGTACCATCCGGCTTCCGGAAAATAAAGTCAAGATTAAGATATTGCCCAGCTGCAAAATATTTTTTAGTGTTTTCTCCCTTCATGGACCAATATGACAGTGTCTGCTTTTTTATATTGTTAGATTAGGCTATTTTTAGAAAGGGGTTTTTGAGTGGAATTAGGATGTTGGGACTAGAAGACTCGGGTTTGTTGCAGTCCAGATCCACCAAATTGCAACTCAAAATCTTCTTTTTAAAGGGACACCAAGTTTTGTCAGATACCTGTCAAATTTGCTTTCCCTTAAAAGACAAACAAACAGGGAAACCTGAGTCCCACCTTTGCCAACCAAGTGCTAACTATTAATGGCGGACTTCAAGGCTTTTCTACACTTTCTTATAGCTCTTTGTTTTTAACTCTGACTTGGACTGGATCACCTTTCAAACAGAGGAATGTAAAATAAGATACCTGGCCACACTACATCTGAGTGGTCCTACATAGGATTCTCCTAAGGATCCCTCTTGCACATATCCTATGCAGAAATGTATTTATGTAAGAGAAATTGCACAGCATGGCATGTTTTGCTGGAGGTCAAGATATTCCTTTTCCACAGGAGCCACCATGGAGGTCATTTTGGATATCCAAGGTTATTTAGCCATCATTATCTCTGCCTGCAGTTATCTTGTATACTTTCCTCGGAGGTCTGTACTCAGTTGCGTATACAGATGTCATACAGCTCGTCTTTATAACAATCAGCTTGGTAAGTCCTGGTACTGTGATTTTACTGCTCAGTTAAAATATTGGGATATATAAAAGTACAGAATCAGATTCTGTACACATGGGAGGTTGTCTCCTTCCCTACAGGCTCCAGTCGGTACAAAATTTAAAACTGATCTTCCCCATTGTAGGAGATTTCAAATTATCTGCAGAGTCATTGTGTCCAAGGTCCATAAAAACAATGGGGCACAAATTATCTATTTGTGCCTGACCCCAAAAGAGGAAATGTATCGCCCCATCTCAGCAAAGATGAAACAGGATACCAAGTTTTATAACATTTCAGTGTGTTTCTTTATAGGTCCAGGTGCAGTTTAGAAATAGTTATTAGAATTTAAATAAGAATATATTTCATCATAGTGGGGATCATTGTGAGCAGACGATTACCCATATGCCTGTGCACAGACTACCAGATGGGCAACTCCAAGTCCCACGCTCTTTCTGAAGGAACAACCACTGGAGGCACTGGCTGGAGGTTCTATCCAAAACATCTGGAGGTCACAAAGTTGAGGAAGGTGGAGAGATACAAGTCTTGGGACTTTTGACAGGCACCTCACAGTCCTCTAGTGCAGGTATAGGGGCAGCATGTGGTCTCCAGGTATGTTGTAGGATAACATACCTGCATGACTCCCATCTTCCCTCGCCATTGGATATGCCTTCCCTAGGACCGATAGGAGTTGTAGGAAGAATCTTCTGGAGATCCATACATTGCTCCCTCCTGCTATTTATTCACTGGCACATTTATATCCCATTTTTCTTCTTCAAGTTCCTCCTCTTCTCCAGTTCATTCTAACAGCAACTCTGTGAGGTGGGTTAGGCTGGGAGTCAGTAACTGTATCAAAGCCACCCAACTTCATGGGTGAGTGAGGGCTAGAACCTGCGTCTACCAAGTCCCAGTCCACTGCACCACACTGGCTCTCTATAACCAAGCTGTGCTGGCTTCAGGAACAAAACTAGAGAGTATCAACCAGTTAGCGATGTGGTGGAGCCAACAGCCAGATCCTAACAGAGTTCAGTTGGTGAGCATTTGTGCTTCAGTCCATGTAGAAGCATGTGGAACATTGTGAAGGCTGGGAGTTGGGGACAAAAACATTAACATAATTGTTACGTTTCTATTTTTATTGCAAGTGGATGTGTATCCCATTTGCTCTCATGAACTCTGCAACACAAAGCATTTCTTTTACTGCTGCCCACGACTTATTCCAAGCGCCTTGGATTGGAAAAGTAGAAATGCAATATTTTGGAAGATGGATCGATGACTTCTTATATTTGGTAAGGCTATTCCTGAGGAACGTGGATAAGAAATTGGTGCTTGTTGCCACATTACTTTTCCGTGGCCAGACCATAGATGGACTGAAAAAATGTATTTTTGTAAGAGATCGAGAGGAAGGCAAATCTGAACAGGGTGCAATCCTATGCTTGTTTAGACAAAAAAAGGTTATAACTCCCAGCATGCCCTGCCAACCAGTTGTAGATCTTTTTTCTGTCTACATAGGATTTTGCCTTGAAAGGATAAATCTATCAGGGGTAGTCATAGGCCACTTAATGATGATTAGTTCTTGGTACAGTCAGGAACACAACAGCCATGTTCATAAGCCAGTTACTAGAAGTTCAGAGTTAGACCTCCATGTTTTACATGTTAATGAATAAGTGATGAAGAGCCCACAGACGGGCCTATCAATTCTTCATCATGAACTGAAATTAATATCATGGTTAAATGCTAAGTGGCTGAGAGACACGTCATGGATCTATTAGTGATTATTAGTTGCAACTACAGTTAAGAATGGGCACTCCCATGTCCCAGTGCAAAGCTGTTGTAGGCAAGTATCAGCTCCTACTGAATCCACCACGTCCTGATGACTCAACTTCTCCAGGTCATCAGGGTGTCTGCATGTTAGAGAACATGTACTGTGCTAGATGAACCTTTCATCCAGTGCAGTGAGCCTACTTGTACGATGCTCTCTTCCAGGTTCTTGGGGGCATCCCCTGGCAATCGTATTTCCAGCGGGTTCTTTCAGTCTCTTCTCTCAGAGAAGCCAGGCTCATGTCCTATCTTGCTGGATTGGGATGCTTTGCCATGGCTGTCCCTTCTGTGCTCATCGGGGCAGTTGCAGCCTCCACAGGTAATCCTGGGTATGCGACGACATGCTGGGCAGGTCCAGAGTTTTGGGAAATGCTGGTATTACAGTCCCTCTTACTGGACACATTGTTGGCTCCAAACTCTGTCCTGATCAAATGAATGATGCAGAGGAACAGGAAAGCTTGTTCGACAAGGCTTCCAGATTCAAGGAAGGCGATGGTCAGAACGTGGTACTTTATAAATAGTGTTATGAAGAGCTATGCCAGATACGTATCTTTGCGCAGCACACATGGGTGCAGGTGTGTGGCTGATAATAACAGAAAACAAAAGAGTAGGGGCACATCCAGGGCCAGCGCTGTACTAGCAGGAATGACTGTTAAGCAATGAGAAAGAAGCGAGAGCAACGCCAAATTACCACTTCCAGAATGTGACTTGTCAGGGGAGGTTGCAGAGGGGGGCTCTGCTGAATTTTCCATTCCAGAAGCAGCAGTTTCTGGCCATCTCTTGGGTGATACGGTCTTGTGGTGTATAGGATGTAACAATTCAATATTATAAGGAAAGAGTAATACAAATAGTCATCGTGCAAATAGTAAAAGGATGCCACAAGCAGAAGCTGTAAGTAAGCTAGCATTTAATTTAATTATTGGAGTGGAGGGTGCAATCCAATGCAGTGTTAGGCAGAAAAGAGGTCTATGATTCTCAGCATGAACCAAACCTATATAAGCTTTGCCAGGAGAAAGCCAACTCCCAACCTGCCCTGCAAACTAAGCTGGCTGAGGCATTCAGGGAAATGTGGGTCTTTTTTTCTTTTTTTGGATAAAAATGGCATAGGATTGCACCTTTAATTAACTAAATTGCTAAGCAAAAACAAATTTCTGGATGGCGCTGAAAAGTTTGCAATGTCAGACCTCCGTAGAGAGAACATTCTAGACTTGGAGGTCTAACAAAGGAAAATACCCTCCCTTTTGTTTGTACATAATGTATGCATGCCGATGGTATAGGACAGTGGCGGCGAACCTATGGCACATGTGCCACAGCGGGCATGCGCAGCCCTCTCCGACAGCACGCAAGCCCAGTCGCCCCAGCATCGCCCCAGCAGCCGAGCATCGGATAACAGCGCACATAGGGGCCATGCGCATGCTCGGAAAGGAGTCGCGGTGGCAGGCAATGACACCACAAGCCGTGACTCATCAGCCGTGACTCATCTGAGCTTTCGCATAGCCGGTCAGGATATATATATATTTGCTTGCACTGGCTGTGAGTTGTTTTTTCTAAAATAAAACCTCAGTTTTCAGGTTTGATTGCAGTGTTGGCACTTTGCAATAAATAAGTGGGTTTTGGGTTGCAGTTTGGGCACTTGGTCTCTAAAAGGTTCACCATCACTAGGTAAGAGTTAGAAAAATGAGGTGTCCTGGTATGATTTTGATGTTTGGAATGTGTTTAGCATGGGCCGAGATGATAAGCTGTGCAGAAAAAGCTACTCAAGGAAAACTATTTCAAAATCGCCCTCTTTCAGTGGTATTTTAGCCCTATATTAGGGTTAGGGGTGTGCACCAGGGTAGGGTTAGGGCAGTGGTGGTGAACCTATGGCACCATGCCACAGCAACCAGGCAGAGCCCTCTCTGTCGGCATGCAGGCCAAGTGCCCCAGCAGCTGAGCATCGGATAACAGCACACATAGGGGCCATGTGCATGCTCAGAAAGGAGTTGTGGTGCCAGGTGATGATGTCACAAGCTGCAACTCATTAGCCACAACTTGTCCGATCTTTTGCATGGCCGATTAGTGCCCTGCCAGGGATATATATATATATATATATTTACTTGGACTGGCTGTGATTTTTTTCTAAACTAAATCCTCAGTTTTCAGGTTTTATTGTAGTGTTGGCACTGTGCGATAAATGTGGATTTTGGGTTGCAGTTTGGGCACTCGGTCTCTAAAAGGTTCGCCATCACTGGTATAGGAGAAGGGTCTTACCTAAAGATCTTAAAGCATAGGCAGCTTATTATGGGATCAGCTCTTTGGGTCTTCAGCCCTTTAGGGCAGGAAGGGTTAGCCCCTTAAATGGGACTCGGAAGCAAGCAGGGCTGTTGAAATGGAGCCAACTTTTTAAAACGAAACTTGTGTTTTCCCTTTCCAAGACTGGAATCAGACGAGATACGGCCTTCCCTCTCCCAGTGACAGAGGAGACGCTGCCCTGATACTTCCATTAGTTCTCCACTATCTTTGCCCAGCATAGCCAAGCCAATGGCCCCCAAGCCAACAATCTCCATTGTTGGCTTGGGGGCCATTGCAGCTGCCGTGATGTCTTCTGGGGATTCTGCCTTGCTCTCCGCAAGCTCCATGTTTGCTCACAACATCTATAGGAAAGTTCTCAGGAAGAAGGTGAGTTCTTTGCTACGAGTGCTCATCACCCAACTAATGCAGGGACAAGTGAAAGGGGGGTTCTAGCTAGGGCTGTGTGAAAATTCACTCATCCGGGTTGTTGTGCATGGATTTCTCTGGTCCACACCACTGGGGTATGAATCTGGACTGGATGCGAGTTGCATTAGGAAAGCACTACATTTTTGGACTTGTAAAATGTTCCCAGGAACAAGAGAAACTTGTCTGATAAACAGCTTGCAGGAGAAAAACATGCAAAGGGTATTCTTCAAGGTTCGTTCTATATAAAGTAGATTCGCTGAAATGAGTAAGACAACCAAGCACTATTTATTCCCATGGGGCTACTCTTTGTAGGACTAAGTGAATCCTACCCAAAGAAAAGGCTGTACATTTCAGAAATGTGTACATACACGTATTAGTCCATGCATGGGTTCATTTTGAATGATATGCATAAGATATCCAAAAATCCTCCTTCATGGATCACTGCCTTGTCGTGCCGAAGGGGCTTGCGTAGCTCAATGAAGCTATGAGCTATGCCGTGCAGGGCCACCCAAGACGGACAAGTCATAGCAGAGAGCTCTGACAAAACGTGATCCACTAGAGAAGGAAATGGCAACCCACTCCAGTATCTTTGCTATGAAAACCCCATGGACAGTACCAAAAGGCAAAAAGATATGACGCCGGAAGATGAGCCCCTCAGGTCGGAAGGTGTCCAATATGCTACTGGGGAAGAGCAGAGGGCTAGTACGAGTAGCGCCAGAAAGAATGAAGCGATGGGTCGGACACGACTTCACAACTAACAACAACAATCCAAAAATCATAACCTGGACAGCTCTCCTTGCCAAAAAGCATACAAAAGACATCCACATGGACCCAGGACTGAGTGGACTTGCATGTTGGAAAAGGAAATATGTAGAGATGGACTGGACAGACCTGCCCGGTCAAAATCTTTGAAAGCAGTGGCACACTTCACTCTTAAAAGTACCTCTGAGTTTCTGGTGTGCTGTAAATCTGCATCTATGGACCCTCTTCCTGATTAGCTCTTTTCTGCTCCTAAAGCCTTGTTCTCTTGCATTGCTAACTTTCTCTGGATCCATCATCCCCAGTCCATCACATAATTCCTCCACCACCCCCTGAAACCACTTTGCCTCAAGTTTCACTAGCAAACCTTTTGAGAAGTTGGGCAGAAGGTAGATAGGGATCTGCTGACAGATTACATGGACTTAAGCCATTCAAATCATCATAGTAATCAGTTAAGTAATTCTTCTTAGCAGAAGACACCTTATTTCATTAGCTGAAATAAATGCATCTTGAGTTTTGGGATTTGTGGTAAGCAGCCAATTCTGTCAGCAACAGGGAAGCCTGTATTTTGGTTTGTTTTTGTTTAACAGAAGGGGTTTTATTTCAGACCAGTAGAGCAAAACTTGGCCCTGGGATCTCTCAGGCTTTCCAGATATCCAGCTCCCGCTGCCCTGCTTTTCCTAGCTTTTGCGCAGCTTTTCCTGCATGCTGAAAGGCTGAAGTGCCTTCCTAAGGCTTAGCTATTAGGGCATGAAGAGTTTCAGACTAAGCTATGCTGGTGTTTTTGTAACATTGGCCCTGCCTTTGTCCTCAGGCACCTCTGGAATATGCCACCTGAGCACTTCTCCAAAATGGAGCTCAGTCCTTGGTCTCAGAGGTTCATCACCTCTGCTTTAGTGAATTTCTGCACACAGTCACCTCACCTTTAATTCAACTTCAAATGAATTCAGCTTTCCCTAAAGTTCTCCTTTCTCTTTTCACAGGCAACTGAGAAAGGTGTATTATGGGTAATGAGAGCATCCATGGTGATGTTTGGGGCTGCGGCAGCAGGTCTGGCATTTTACTCCCATTCCATTTTTGACCTCTGGTTCCTGGGCGGAGAGCTGGTGTATGCCCTTCTCTTTCCTCAGCTCTGCTGTGCCCTCTTTGTCCCTGGTACCAACACCTACGGCTCAGCCGCTGGCTTCTTCTTGGGGTTTCTGCTGAGACTATTGGCTGGGGAACCCTCCCTGAAGATCCCCCCAGTGATCCATTACCCAGGATGCTCTCTTGTAGGTGGGACCTACATTCAGCTGTTCCCATTTAAGATGGTCACTATGCTGGTCTCCCTGTTTACTATCCTCTCTGTTTCATACCTGGCGGCCTCCATGTTTAAGGCAAACCTCCTTCCTGTTGAATGGGATATTTGTAAAACAATTAAGGAAGACCAAACGCTCATTTTCTTACACCAAAGAGCAAAACCAGAGGATATACAGCAACTGGAGAACATCAAGCCAGTGGGAGAGGAAACTGGTATTCTGTAATTTTACTGCACAGGTGGTGGAAGCCCCCTTAGACCTTTGACTGCGACCCTATTCCATGTGCTACTCCACTTTAGAAGTTAGGCTGATAGTCACAAACAGAGTGGGACCTTTCTGGGGGTGGCACCATCCCTGCTAGAAGCCCTTCATTTCAGATGCCTGTTTGATACAGAGCTGGAGCTCTTCCTGGACAGCAAGGCACTGTTGCTTTTCTCAAAAGCATTCTGACCAATTTAGTGCTATAGTTATGAAATGGTTTTGCTTGGAGTGTTTTCTTATAGGGGGTATTTTATTCAGGCCTGCAGAACCTTAGACTTAGGGGCCAATCCAGCCCACTTTGGATCCCTGGAGTTTCCTGGTAGCCACACTGCTTTCCCTGATTCCATCATTTCCCTTTCCACAACCATAGTCTGTACAGTGGTTTTCTGCCTTTTGCCTAGATTTTTCCCCTTTGTAAATGGTCAAAATGCCTTTGCTAAGTCTGAGTGACTGACAGTGAGGGCTATATGCTAAAACATGGTAATATTTTGCCTCCCCCTCCAAGTTTCTTTGGCCCCCTGGGAACTTCTCCACAATGGAATTCTGCCCTTGGCCTGCAAGAGTTTCAACCACCTTTATTTAAATGATTGATGGTTTTCACTGAATTTTTAACTTTCCATGGAGCCATGCATTGGAAAAGGGCAGTGTGAAGATCATCTGACGCAATTAGAAACAGAATAATGAACAAGATGGACTTTAGTTCATCTAGTCAGATAATTTTTCTTTCTTTTTTTTAAAAGTAAGTTTTATTTGAAATTATAATCCTAAAAAAAAAACCAAAAAACAAAAAAACACTACAAACTACATCCATCATCAAAAATATCGAGCCCTCTGGGTCAGCTCCCACACCCTTCTTTTTCCATTTATGATAACTTTAAAAACGTATTTAAGTCTGTGTGAAGTCCCATTTCTCTAGCCAATAATAAAAAAAGTCCCAAGTTTGATAGAAGTCAGTATCTTCTTTCTCCTTCAATGATAAACTCAATCTATCCATTTCTGCACAGTCCAGGATCTTTTTTAGAGTCAGTTCATCGGTGGGTAGAAACACAGAAACATAGAAAACAGAGCGAGTCAGAAGGGGCCTCCCGGGTCATCTAGTCTCACCTCCGGCACCAGCCGGCTCTGCTCACGACATGCCCACCATGTGGACGTCCAGCCTCTCCTTGAACACCCACACCGATGGGGCCTCAACGACCTCCCGGGGAAGCCCATTCCACACCCTCGGGGTCCTGACTGTCAGGAAGTGCTTCCTGGCATCCAAATGGAACCTTGGCTCCCTGAGCTTTGCTCCGTTGGAGCGCATTCTGCCTTCCTCCGCAGGGGAGAACAGGTCTCTACCCATCTTCATGTGACATCCCCTCACATACCTGTATGTTGCCAACATATCCCCTCTGAGTCTCCTCTTCTCCAGGCTGAAGAGACCCAGTTCCCTCAGTCTCGCCTCATACCCCATCCCCTGCAAACCAGCCACCAACCTTGTGGCTCTACGCTGCACTGACTCTAACCTGACTATATTCTTTCTGTAACGAGGGGCCCAAAACTGAACACAATACTCCAGTTGCGGGCGCACTAGAGTCATGTAGAGTGATAGTAATACCTCTCTTGATCTAGAAGCCATGCTTCTGGCTATGCAACCAAGGGTGGCGTTTGCCGTCTTGACCACCGCATCACACTGCTGACTCATGTTTAGCCTGCAGTCAACCAATACCCCAAGGTCCCTTTCACAAGTGCTACTCTCCAGCCACTTGTCCCCTAACCTGTACTTATGACACCCATTCCTATGCCCCAAGTGCAAGACCTTGCACTTATCCACATTGAACGCCATCCTGTTGTCTCCTGCCCACTTCCATAGTCTGTCCAGATCCTTTTGGATCTGGAGTACCTGCTCCTCAGTTGTGGTCACTGCTCCAGTTTTAGTGTCGTCTGCAAATTTGATCAGCAGACTGTTCACCCCTTCTTCCATGTCTTTAATGAAAAGATTAAACAGGATTGGGCCCAGGACAGAGCCCTGGGGGACCCCGCTTGTCACTGGCCGCCATCCCGATGATTCCCGGCTAATGGTTACCCTCTGCTTTTGGTCAGTCAACCATGCCCTAATCCACCGGACGGTGCTTTGGTGTATCCCAAAACTCCTCAGTTTCTCCACCAGGATATCATGGGGCACTTTGTCAAAGGCCTTGCTGAAATCCAGGTATACCACGTCCACTGCATCCCCTCCATCTAGCCATCGCAAAACCTTGTCAAAGAATTCCACAAGGTTTGTCTGGCAGGACCTGTTTTTGCGGAAGCCGTGTTGTGTGGCTGTCAGCCTCCCTTCCCTATCTAGCATCACTAGATCTCTCTCTAGCTCATCACTTTTCCAGTGCTGAGTGAATGCAATCCTTGCCACAGTGATTACAGGCAAAATAGTCAGATAATTTTTCTTATGTTATTAATGAATACGTAAAACAAGCTGGGCCTTGTTTCTCTCTCTGGGCTCCCACAAGCAAGCTGTCCATGGGGATGTCAAAGAAATTGGCAATGGATTCAAATGAGTCTAGATTTCTATGACTCCATCCTTTGACTTCCACAGTGGACTGGCTTTTTCTGAGTCATGTGGACTCCATGGACTTCCAGACTGCTTCCCCCCGCCCCCATTTTGGGGGTGGGGTTGTGCTAATTCACATTAGCACTAATGTCCATGGATTAGTTATATTAATATAAGCAATGTCAGGGCCAGTCCAAGACAGTTTGCTTCCTAAATGCTACTTTAGTACTAGGAATGGGATGGTGTTGTCCATCACTCACAGATGGGGAAAGCCAGGAAGTTCATGACAACAACACACTGTCTGAGGTGATGATCTCAGGTGTGCTGATGTGTATTTGCTATTGAGGTGATCTCTTCACTTTGCCTAATGGAAAAGCCAATCCTGACATATCTATAATTATATTTTTCTATAACATAATGCTCATTGGCCTAAGTTGATATGCTCCTGGACAAATTTGCACACAAACTACAGCATTTGGTAACAAAACAAAACACCACAATGAACAGAGCCACAATGAAATACAACAGGCCATCTGCAAAGTACAGACTGAATGGATTTAACAAAATCCATGCATCCCAGGCTGGCACTATCTAGTCTTTATAACAATCACATCTTCCTTCATCATTTAGTCTCACACAGATGCCGCTGCCCTGGAACATGCGCTCCCTCACACTAGGGCAACAGTCCCACCATGTTGTTCTCCCCCTCTTTTCATTCCTTGCTGTTTCTTCAGCAATGGCAGCACTGAGAAACCATTGCAGTGGGTGACACTCAAAGAGAGTGAGCGGAAAAGAGCAGGGTTTTCCTGCCTATACCGGAATCAGTACAAGGAAACAGAAAGGAATGAGGGGAGGAGGAGGAGGAGGGGGAGGAGGAGGGGGAGGGGGAGGGGGAGGAAGACATGTGTAGGTGTGGGGATGCTTAAAGAACTACCAGTAAGAGCTGCAGTACCACAGTGCTGGAACACACTGGTTTTGTAGTGCATAGAAACAGCAAGCACAAGAAAAAACATAGGAAATGTAGGATGCAAAACAAAGGCGTACTGAAGGAGAACTTGTGTCCACACAATGGGTTGGTGTATGTGTGATGTTACCCATGCAAGAGCAACACCCTTGGAAAATGTTCTTGTATGTGGGCCGTGCAGGGTTCAGCCTTCCAGCGCCATTTTTATCTGGGTTCAGAAGGTTTTCTGTTTTAGAGCTCAGCTTCCCCATCTCTGCTCTGTATCTAGGTTCTTGGACAAGATAGTTTTCTGGTAGTTTGCCTTCTGAGGAATGGTTTTTTGTGACCACCCATGCCCACTATGGCAGCCATTTTATGAATGAGCCATTTTATGAGAGCACCCACAACATTCTTTCAGCATTCCAAATGTGCGCACCAAGCCAAACAGCTTAGGGACTCTTGCTCTAAGTCGACCCAGAAGTTGGGCAGTTCTGTATATACAGATGGATCTAACTTTTATGAGTTTATCTTAACTGGGTGTGAAACCTGGAAAGTCTACAAGAAATGCAGATTCTTCAACAATCACATGAATGTGGAAAGGGGTTCCCTAAAGTCAGAAGGCTGAAGAACAGGTAACCTCTATCATACTAAAATTGCCTGCAACCAAGAGACAACGTTTTTTTAAAGAAGAGGAGGTAAAAAAGGAAGGAAGAAAGTAAGAAAACAAGAAAGCAAGCTGCAATCTTTGTGCAAAACTTTTGAAAGCCCTAATGCACCATATGGCAGGAAAGGAGGCTTTTTCTGGCTCCTGCTAAAGCCATTTTCCATTTGTAAATGCATTTTTTGTTTCATTATTAATGACTTCAGCTCCCTTTCTCAAAAGAAACTCAGAAAACCACAGTCCTGATCACTCAAGGTGGATCCCCCTACAAGGCAGAAACACAGAGTTGAAATGTCTGGTTGTTGTACAGCAAATCTTTATTTATATTTTACAGATGCCAGCATATTAGGTTGGTGACATCAAGCTTTTTCTCTATAGTCATATCAGGAACTGCAGCGCCCACCTGAACATTTCCTTCACATTCTGTTTATGAACGCTGCTTCTTGATTTGGCCCATTATGTATTTCGTTACAGCATTTCTGGGCCACTCCACATCCAGACAGATTCCAGAGTGGTGAACTCTATGAGGTTAAAATAAGCAAAAGAATAAAAATGCATTAAAAACATTGTTAAAAGATGGTATTAAGACCAAAGCTGCTCAGCACAAAAGGCTTCCCAGAAGAGGAATGTCTAGCTGGCACTGAAGACAGCACGGAGTTGGTGTCTGTCTATCTGCCTGATATGGGAGTTCCATAGAAATATGGAAGTCAACAGACTGAAGACTTTCCCCCTGGTGGAATCCAATCAGGCCAGGGATCTGTGAGGACTACCAGGAGAATGATGACCTCAACAATTGGGCAGGTTGGTAAGAAAGAAAGAAAGAAAGAAAGAAAGAAAGAAAGAAAGAAAGAAAGAAAGAAGGTCCTCTTCTCAGGTACCCTGGTCCCAAGTTGTTGAGGGTTTTGCACATAAGTACCAAAATGGGTAGTTCCTTCAGCAAGGGATTAATGTAATAATTTTAACATTTTTATTTAAAACATTTCTAGGCTGCTTTTCAGGGCAGAGGCCCTTCTGTGGTGGCTTACAGCAATGAAAGAGACTGATACAGTTTCATAGAAACAATTATCTAAAAAACAACAATAAACACTCAGTCAAGGAAGGCCAAAGAACTAGGTTTTCTGTTCCTGCCTAAAAGTCTTCAATGTTGGGGCTAGATAGATCCTTGCTGGCAACTCAATCCAGAGGTTTGGGGCCACTGCAGAAAAGGCAGATTTTTTCAAGCTAGGATGATCAAAGATCTAAGGACCAAGTCCTAGGCCTCAGTCCTTCAAGCAGTTTGTCTACATCCCCAGACTGTAGAAGCTGAAAGGTATCCGCAATGTGACTAGATGGTCACCCGTGTTAGACTCTGTCAGAACAATGACATCTAAAAGCTGACACGGCTGATAGGAGTTCGCAACAGACATTTCAGGGTTCATTTTACTGTACTCTCAAGCAAACACCTGAGAAGCAATTAACACGCCAAAGCTGTGCCATCACTGTGAGAGAATAAGTTTGCAAATGAATTCTTACTTGTGTTCAAGCATAATTATTTCCGCTCTGCTACCCAGCAATGCATTCCTCTTTCCCTGATTGGCCTCTCGCCTTTCTATGGCTCAGCTGCCAGGTTTTTCTTTTAGCTTTCTATTAAGGAACCCAGCAGAGGGACATTTAGCAAAAATCTTTACGGGTTCAGAATCCATAGTCCATCAGTACCTCTATTAGAACCAACCAGAATGTCACAAAATGGCAAGCAAATTTTTGAACAAAGAACCCTTCTTAGCCGTCTAGAGACTTTTAGTAATGGGACGGCATAGAAAAACTTTAAATAAATTAAATAAATAAATGAAAAATAAAATAAATCATGCAGGATGGTAAACCAATGGGTGAGGTGGGAAAGAAACCGTTGTTTCTCTGCCCTTGAGGTGCTTTCCCCATTTTTTCATTTAGTCTTGTTTTTCTCATGCTATACTCTGGTGCACAGAATTGCCATTTAAGTTATTGCATTAAAGCCACTTACTCTCATGCTGGACAATATAATCTCCATTTTATACTTGGCTGTGCCCTGTGGAAAGTGAGCGAGAGAAATACGCTGGTAAGTGCAGACTTACCTTCCCAGATCTGAGGGACATTTATCTCATTGGATTACATTTTCATTTATTTAATTTCTGCACTGGCCAATCTCCAAAACACTCTGGATGGTTGACAAAATGAAGGCGATGCCTTAATTACCAACTTTGTACAGTGGGAAGAGTGGATTTAGTAAGCTTCCCAGATTAAAACGCTACCTGAGGTTGGAAAGCAGATATGAGTCCTGGGCTGGTTCTTTTGAATGGTTCCAGCAGCAGAACTCTTCTTTATGATCTTGATTTAGTGACTTCTCCAGCAGATAACTTTAGGAACATATATACATGCAACGGTGTTGGAAAAGTAGGCAGGTCCCTCCCAGAGTTGGATTTGACAATGTGCATTAATATTTCTGTTGTCTGTAAAATCGGTAGGCTAAGAAGACACCTCCCACCCTGATGTCTCCACTGAGGAAGGGAACCACTGAAATCTTTCTGCATCCATTATATCAGGAAGCAGTAGCTGGTGGCTCTAATCCTGGTGTGGTTGTGTTTCCACTCTGGCTTTTAGTTTGAACTTTTAAGGAGCTGTCCATAGTTCTGGACCCAATTTTGTGGCTATGGTTCAGCACTGCGGATAGCTCCTTCAAAAGTCTGACTCCAGGCCAGAGTGGATAAACCAGCCCATTGACCTTGAAGCCACCTCCCTGCACTGACGCAAGGGTTTCAGCCTGAAGGCCAAATTCCATTTCAGAACAGTTCTGCATTCTGGAAGGGAGTTGGAAGAATTAAAGTACATAGTAGAGACAAAAGATAAAATTTCAACCTTACTGAAGTTGGTAAATTACCCTGCCTAGATGGTATCCATTGTAGCATTCTTAAAGAACTGAAACATGAAATTGCTGGCATTCTTTTCAGATATTTAGTATGCCCCTAAGATCAGCCTCTGTACAAGAGGATTTGAGAATGGCCAGTGTAGCACCAATTCTTAAAAAGGGATCCAGTGGGTTCTGGGGAATTACAGGCCAGTTAGCTTAATGCTTGTTCTGGATAAATTTCTTGCAAGTGTTATTAAAGATGGAATCAATAAGCACACAGAGGGACAAGTCCCGTTGAAAAGGAATCAAAATGGATTCTGCAAGGGCAAACCGTGTCACACTAACCACAGAGTAAACATTTGTTTACTTGGAGTTCCAAATAGTTTTGACAAAGTTCATCACTGAAGGTTCCCGAGGAAACTTAGCAGTCATAGAATAAAAGAAGGGTCTGTCTTATGGATCAGTAATTGGGTAAAGAATAGAAAGCAGAGTGAGAGACTAAACAGCAATTTCTCCCAATGCAGAGATGTACCCAGTGGGGTCCCACAGGGTCCTGTGTAGGACCACTGTTTTTCAACCGATTCATCAATGATCTGGAATTAGGAATAAGCAGTGAAGTGGCCAAGTTTACTGCTGACACCAAACTATTTAGGGTACTTAAATCCAACAGGGACTGTGCGGAGTTGCAAAGCGATCCCTCCAGACCGGGTGAATGAGCATCAAAATGGCGCATGGCCAGTCTGTGTTGACAGTGCTGGGCGACACCGCACAAGGGCAGCTTCGTATACTCTTACGTGCACATGCCTGCTTGTTGCAATCTCTGAGCCATCAGGAACCAGAAACTGTGGCAGGAGATCCACTTCATTCAGAGAGCCACTGCCTGCACATCTTGCTCTGCCTGGCGTAACAGACGGAACAGAAACGGTGTTACGACCAGCACGTCATGCTGCAGGGCCGGCTGGGTGGCTTGTTTCCTGCCTGGAATGAATATGACACTGTTCCCCCGCCCAGCAGGCTCTGCTTTTGTGGCTGCTGCCAGCCAGCCTGCCTGCCTTCCTCCAGCCAGCCAGTTTTATCCTAAATCAATATCAGAAGGTTCTGAGGGCGTGAGCTGAGGCAGCAGGCCAGCCTCTCCTTCACATTATCGTGGATTCTCAGGGAAGGACGCCTAATATGTGTCCGGAAACCAGCTAACGCCATCCTCTGGAGTCCAACTGATTACGGCTGCAAGATTCCTGCCCCTTCCAAGGTGGGCTCTGATATGTGGCCGCTCCAGGTGCTTCATTAAATGAGGGCCAGCAAGCGGTTCTTCCTTTCTGATGAGGCCACTCCACTATCTGCAGGGCTGCAGACGAGGTGTTCGGCTGGAGATTGTCACCCTCTGCCTGGCTGCCGGGTGGGCTTTCCAAAGTAAGTGCCTGTGGACCGCGTGCATTCCTTCTTGCCTGGAACTCGGCTTTGTTTGGCTCTTTTCTGGGCTTGGGAGGGCTGCTGAGGGCTTGCTAGCACTGCTGCAACCGTGGGTTTTCTGGAGAGGTTTGCCTCAGCTCTGGGAAGCCAAGGTCCAGCGCATTGGCTTCCGCCGCCTCCTTCCTCTTTCGACTCAGGGTGTGCCATCCTGTTTGCGCCGCTCCCACCTCAACGGAGCTGCCACCTATTCACTCCCGACCACTTTTGTAAAAGTCTCCTCTGCCTGTTAAGCAAACACACTGCAGTCAGATGTGCGACAGACGTTGCTCTCCCCATGTGGTAAGCAATGCAGAGATGGGGAAACAGCTCCTGTGGAATTTCTGCCTGGCATAATAAGAACAGCCGTGCCAGTTCAGATCAAGGGCTTTCAGCCAGAGACAACCAGGAGCAGTTTGGAGCAGGAGTTTGGTGGAAACTGGGATAATTAATTGGGGGATGACCCACTGATTAACTCCTGGCTTGCTTTTGGATGAGCGCTTGGTCACATTTTTAAAACCCCATTTTCTGCAAAATTTGCCATGTGTGTGAAAGGGTGTGTGAACAATTCCTTGCTCTCTCTTAACCCCTCCCCCCCTTTTTTTGCATTTTTCCACACCACTGGAGAGCCTTCCCACTGCTTTCAATTTGTATAGTGCTTTTCCACACTATGTGTCTAGGGCAGTTCAAAACACAGGGACAGCGAGACCAAAAGAATGCATATCAATACACTGTCACTACATCAAGCTAAGCAATTTCACTAATATTAACATAACCCTAAGATACAGAATCAGAGGCATCTTGGGATGATCTCAGTGTGGGGCTGTAATTTAGCTGAAGTCTTCATTTACTTGAGGCAGTTTTGATGAGAAATTTATGATCTGACATTCCCTTTGGTGCACCTGAAATACATCCCAGCTATTGTGTGTGTATGTAAATTAGCATAAGCCATTTTTATGCAGATTCATGACCTATAGCCCTGAGCTTCAAATCTCTTAGGTGCCTAGCAACATTGGCACAGATGATGGGAAACATAGCCCCAAATACCTGGAGGGCAAGACATTTAGGGAGCATGTGCTATGCTTGTCATTCTTCATCGATGTGTTTGAAGACAATTATGCCAATGGCTATTATCATTTCATGTGGCAAAGAGTTCCAGAGGTTAACCATGTACCATGTGAAGAAATCTATTTTGCTTGTTTGCTACCAAAGTATCAGGGTGACCTCAAGTGTTTGAGAGGGAGCAATATTTTTATGCATCATTCATAATATTTCCAAGTTTCTTTCATGTTTCTGTCCACCTCACCATGTCATAGGCATGATTGTTCTTCCTGAACTAAAACGAAACGAAACCAAAACTCCCCAATACTGTGAACTTTGAGGAGTCACTCCAAATTCCTTAAGCATTTTAATAATCTTTTTCTGCAGATTTCCCCATCACCTCTACCATAGCTCTAAATGAGATACCAGTTTTGAGATGACACAACCCAAACTTTACACATTATATTTTTCTAAAGACATTCAAGGAGAAAGCAGCTCTTAGAACAGAGGGCGGGACCCACATTCAAGGCCATACATACAGTCCCCCTCCGTTGCACCCCCCTCCCCAGTTTCCATTGCCACCCCAACCAAAATCCCATCAATTTTGTGGAGAACCAGGGCACAGAGCTTCTGTAGAATGGGCTGTTGGGAATACAATTCTGCAGGGAACAAGGCAGATTTCCCTTTGCTTTGATTCCAGCAGTTGTGTCTGCCCTCATTGGTAGGAGCTAAATGTGTCTCCTGGGCTATGAACGCAGCTCCCCAACCCTTAGAAGGTGCGAGTCCGTCTTTAAGGCTAGCAGGAACACTGCTGGGGGTGGTGATGCTGTTGTTGCTGTTGTTAGTTGCAAAGTTGTGTCCGACTCATCGCGACCCCATGGACAACATTCCTCCGGGCCTTCCTGCCCTCCACCATCCCCCAGAGTCCACTCAAGCTCACACCAACTGCTTCAGTGACTCCATCCAGCCACCTCATCCTCTGCTGTCCCCTTCTTCTTTTGCCATCTATTGTTCCCAGCATCAGGCTCTTCTTCCTTCTCATTAGGTGCCCAAAGTATTTGAGTTTCATCTTCAGGATCTGGCCTTCTAAGGAGCAGTCAGGGTTGATCTCCTCTAGGGCTGACTGGTTTGATTGCCTTGTGGTCCAAGGGACTCTCCTCCAGCACCTCAATTCAAAGGCCTCAATTCTTCGGTGCTCAGCCTTCCTTATGGTCCAGCTTTCACAGCCATACATTGCAACTGGGAAAACCATAGCCTTGACTATATGCACTTTTATTGGCAGGGTGATGTCTCTGCTTCTTAGTACACAATCGAGATTTGCCATAGCTTTCCTCCCCAGGAGCAAGCGTCTTTTAATTTCTTGGCTGCAGCACCATCTGTGGTGATCTTGGAGCCCAGGAAAATGCTGAGTGGCAACTAATTGTATTCTTGTTCCATCCTCTTCTCAGCTTCTTGGCTCTCCAAACCCTCCATCTTTGCCGTAGGAGTTGCTGGGCTGGGCTACATGCCAGGCCAGATGAAATGACGGCTTTATTGCTTAAAAATGATATTTGAGCCCACCATGAAAAAGAACACCACTTGGCACTTGTCCTCAGCTCTGCTTTTATTGCATGGAGCTCAGTGTGAGGTATTTGTGAGCCCTAGGGCTTTTTTTAAAGTTGGCATCTTTACTTGGAGAGCCAAGAAAGGAGTAAAAAACCCTGAAACCAGAACACACTTGCAGTCTTAGCTATGGACATGGTGGTGGTAAGTGTATGCCAGTTGTCAAGGTGGTGAGGTTTTGGAGGTTCCAGCACTTATTCTAGGGTAGACTTCCCCAATGTGGGACTCTCCAGTGGCTTGGGACTATACAATCCATATATGCCCAGTCGCCCCCTGAGATCGGCGGGAGAGGCCCTTCTCCGGGAGCCCTCCGTGAGAGAAATTAGGAGGGTGGCTACTCGGAGGAGGGCTTTCTCAGCAGTGGCGCCCCATCTATGGAATGCGCTCCCCAGAGAGGTCCGCCTGGCGCCATCGTTATTTGTTTTTCGGCGCCAGGCAAAGACCTTTTTATTTAAGCAACATTTTAAATGTTAATACCACTGAATTTTATCTGGCCAGGGCGGCTTATTTTATAATGTGTGTTTTAAATTATTATGATTATTTTATATGTATATTTTAACTTATTGGTTTTATTTATTGTTGTAAGCTGCCCCGAGGCTTCGGTGAATGGGGCGGCATAAAAATGTTTTAATAAATAAATTAAATAAATAAACTTCCAGGATTCCCAAACACTATCCCTGTGCTGATGGGAATTAAAGACCAAACCATCAGGAGGGCATCATGTTGGACAAGCTGCTCTGGGGTTTGGTTACCTTCAACCAAGGTCATTGGCAGCTTATGGGGTTTCTGCAATATTACTGTAGCAATAATATTTATATACCACTTAGCATAAGTGGTATATAAGTATTACTTAGGCTGGACATGCACATGGTAGGCATGTCATGAGTGGAGCCTGCTGGAGCTGGGGGGTCAGACTAGGTGGCCCAGGAGGCCCCTTCTGACTTGCTCTGTTTCTATCTTCTATAATAGCATCTCTTTATTTGCACATAAATAGAGGTTTATGCATTATGTGGCTTATATCCAGGCTGAGCATGGGGGGGGGGGTCATAGATGTAACATTCCAATGGATCCCCTTCCCCCATTTGTTTTGCAGGGGGTCTTGCACCCTAAAGTTGTCTCCAAACCTCCCTTTTACTCATTTGTTCCCTGGCCTGATCTGGCTCCATTCTAACATGAGCTGCCATTAGTGAAATGGCCCCACGCACGACATGGACTATATCAACACATTCTTTAGATGTTCACAACCCAGGTTTGGACCACAATTCCCAGCAGCCACAGCCAGCCCAATTTATAGCAGGAAAGGGAAGGAGGCAGGGCGGAGAAGGTATCCTGAACCCAAGCGAGATCTGCCAGGCTAAACTTGCTCAACTCGTTTTGGCCTTCCCTTAATCCTGGCTCTTTTACAATCAGATTGGGCTGTAATGGATCCTGATGAACCCACCCATCTCATTACAGCACCCAAAGCTTGTGATTTCCCCATTTCCTTCAAAGCAGCGGTGAATGACAGGCATGGAAACCAAATGGCCCGGGGCTTGCAGGATGAAAGCTATTTGTATCTATTGCTTCCCATATGGCAGTGCACTGTTTGCTCTGAATTCTTCCTGTGGAGTTCAGCGCACATGCTGTGTGGGAGTCGCAGCAGATGCTGTTCTTCAAGAGCAATGGCACACTCTTTTAACTTGTTGTTCGCTTTATTTATATCCCTTCCTTCTGTGCCTTTGCACATCTAAAACCAGCAATTAAATTACAGTAATGCCCCTAAACCAGAGAGGGGAGCAATTTCATACATTCAGACAGTTGCAGCAGATAAAACAAAAGAATCAAATATAATAGCTGTCTAAGTGAAGAGATGCTGTCAAAAAGAGCACCAACCCAGCCCTGCAGAGCAAGGAATGGCAAGGTTTGGTGCAGCCCTTTTCCTTGTCTCATCAACTACCTGTGCACCAGCGTTGGGGCACGGCGAAGGACTGTCCTTTCTCAGGGCTTCTGAGCAAGGCAGTCTCCATGGCCCTTTCCTCAGTGCGGGTACCTTCTCACTCCCATTGGGATCAGTGGCCATGGCTCTGCCTTCTCCAGGGAACAAAGAGGCTGCAGCATCTGCTTCTCTTGTCCTCACCATCTCTGAGTCAGAGTGAGAGGCAATAGAATAGAATCATACCATTGGAGGGGGGGGGGGGGGATTGGGTCCAACCTCCTGGCTCAGTGCAGGACTCAAGACTCCCAGCCAAATACTAACCAGGCCTGACCTCACCTAGCTTCTGAGGTTAGGTAGGATCAGATCAGGCACTTTGGACTGTATGGAATGGTAAAGAGGAAAAGACAGCCTCCCCTTTCCTTGCAGGAAGGGTAGGCACCTGTTGTGGCCCGGCAGAAAAATTCAAACAACAGGTTGCAAATTGAGCAAACATGTTAATATAGATGTAATATACTTTCACCATAGCTGGGAAAAAGATCGATGAACTGAGCTGTGTGTCTTCGGACTGTATGATACCTGTTCAAAGTTCTCCTCTCTTATGGTTCTTTTTCAAAACCTAACATGGGTTGGTCAGCCTTTCAAACAGAGGACTGCCCTCCTTAAAGTAGGGTGCACAGGCACTCTACATCTGATGGACCCACATGCATTTTTGCCTCCGCTGCTCATTTTCTGCTGAGTTACCTCAGCTTCATTGATTTGCATGCTAAAGCACTGATTGACAGCCCTTCTGCTGATGTTACCACATCAAATGTAGCATCTCCTTTCTTTTCCCATAGACACTGCAGGTCCACTGCTATGAAAAAAGCCACCCCCAGGTTCTAGATTGGTCTCTTTGCTCCATCTGTCCTCTGTTCGTGTCTCCTGAAAAATCGGAGTTCGAATGAATTCTGTTAGAAATAACTCACAGGGGGAAAAGCAAATGTAGTGGAAGTCTGCGCATGTTCACAAAGCATTGTGGGGATGGGGACGGAGACAATGTGCTAGGAAAAAGCCAGCACATGGTGGTCATCAGCTCATACAGTTGTGGTCTTCTGCACCTACCAGAATGTACCTTATTCAGCTTTCAGCACACTAGGAAGTGCAGTTTAGTGGTTAGAGTGTTTGACTTGTACCAGGAAGAGTGTGAGCAGGTAACCTTTGTGCCCGCTCAGCCGGCTGACCAGATGGTAACTGTTGATGGGCAACCTCAAGAAACCTTTTAATGGTTGCTTATGGCTCTTTGTCTTTTTACTTGACTTGGATTGGACAGCCCTTTAAACAGAGGACACACCTTGACAGCCCTTCAAACAGAGGACTGTCCTCTGTCAATTCAGACACCAGGTATTCTCTTCTACAACTCATATTAGCCCTAACTGGCATAGTTAATGGTGAGGAATCATGGGACTTGGAGGACCCCAACTCCTTGGGCTGAAAGTTGGTCAAACCCTTGTTCCAGATGGGTGGATACTACAAAGACACTACTCATTAGCCAGCATTAGTCTCCTCTCACAAGCAGCATTAATGCCCTTCCAATTAGGTGGGGGAGGCTCGTGACTTGTCCGTCCGTGGGGTTTCTTAGAAACTATCCATGGTGATGAACCGTATCCCCAGAATAGCTTCGTCACCATGGAGCGCCGTGGACCAAGGACTCTCCAGCTTCCCCTGCATCTGATGAAGGTAAGCGCACGAGCTGGGGCAGGAAATCTTGTGAAGGAATGTATAGTACTTTCAAGGGAGCTGCTATGACAAAAACTATAGGTATGTTTACTAGTCACAAACTGATAAGCTATCAAGTAGATGCAAAGCAGTTAGGAAACGTATGTACACCCGGAGAATGAAATAGGGAGGTCTAAGGTCATAAAGGAGCTGAAGGTGGTGCATGGGAAAATCCAAACTGGCTTAGGGATTCACCTCCTATTAAAGTAGCACTGGAGACTATGCCGGCTGTATTGCTTTCTTGGCAAATATTTAGCAAAGAGCAGAAAGAGATGCATTATCCCAGGAGTGGACAACTCCACTTTAGGTTAGCAACCTGAACATTCTGAAAAAGAGGAATGCATTGCCTGGAAAAAGTGGGCACAAGAGAACCCAGGGCTGCACAAAAATTGCTTATCCTAATTTATATGTGCAGATGTGAATTTAGAAAAAAATACTGTCGGTCAGTGCTTCAGATATAGAAACATGAAGCCGGCAGTGCATGAATGTATGAATAAGGAGACAAGAATGGCTATAAAATAGCTGTAGGAGTTCCATTCAAGCCAGGGCCGGCTCCAGATATGGGGTGGGGTGCGGGCTGAGCAAAACAGCTAGCAGGCTTCTCTGGCCACAGCATATGGATTTGTGGAGCTGCCTGACAGTTCCCACAGTGCCTCGGAGCATTCTCATGCGGCGATCTGGAATGCTCCAGGACATTGTGGAGCCTTATCTATTTATTGTGTTTGTAAACTTTATTTGCAAACTTTATTTACAAAGTTTAAAAATGTACGGTAAAATGCAACTAAAATTAACAACACATCTAACGATCCATAAGCAAAGGCAGGCCACTTTGCAGAACCACCGATTATACAAAACCAACATGAGACACACAACAACAACCAGATATAAAATATGAAAACTGTTAAAATCATTCTAACAATTAAAGTATCGGGGAAATAATAAGGTCTTTGCCTGGTGCCCAAAAGAATGCAAAGAACATGCCATGTGAACCTTTTTGGGGAACTGGTTTCAAAGACGGGGTGCCACCACCATGAAAGCCCTTCGGCCCGTAGGCTCCCTCCTTATTTCCTGTGGAGGGGGCTACTTCAGATGGCTGATGACCAAAGGGGCTGAGTAGGTAAATGTGGGAAGAGGTGCTCCTTTAGATACCCTGGCCCCAAGCTGTTTGAGGCTTTAAACACAAGTGTTAACACCTTGAATTGGGCCCAGAGTTCAATTAGTAACCAATGAAGGTAGTAGAGAACTGAGGTTTATTATGGTCCTATCTGCCAGTCCTGGTCAGCAGCCCCATTCTGGACCTACTGGAGTTTCTGGACTGTCTTCAAGGGAAGCCCCACATAGAAAGCATTGCAATAATCTAGAGAAGAGGTTACCAGTGCATGAATAACCATTGCCAGGTTCTGTCTGCCCAGATAGAGTTCTGGCTGGTAAATTGCTCTTGGCTGATAAAAGGTGAAGAAGATACTTTGAAATGGCAGGCCGCTTCCAAGGTTGGTGAGAGACATGGCAAAATAGGAAGGACACATGGAAATCAGTGATAGAAGATCCTGCTGGGGCCCTGGAAACTGCCCAGGGATGCCATCTGCTAGTCCTGCCATATCCCACCTGTTCCTTGACAGCAAGTTTCAAACTCTCGAACAGCTTCATTGCCCAAATTCAGGCTGTCTCTATTTCCTCCTCTTCATCTCCTCATTGGAATTGAAACCCAGATCATCCAAGGACTTGGGTGTGACATCGCATAGAACAGCTCTGGCTCTGAAGTTACCCTTCAGATGTGGTGGACTACAATTCCCACCTCTCTGTGCCATTTGGAGGTCACTGAGCTGAAGGAGATTTCTGTAGCTAGCCTTTGAACACAAGGGGCAGGAATGCTCATTGTAGATAAGGCTGCTCCAGGATTGAAGAACGAAGCGTGTTTTTACACAGGCATCGGCAACCTGCAGCCAGCAGTCCTGTGTGGCCCTCGGCTTAATTTAACACTGATTTCAAAACCTCTCCATGTGCAATCAGTTGGGACTTCTAACAAGAGGGACCTGTCGCCTCCCTGGGAGCCCTGTGGGTGGGAAGAAAGAGAGGGAGAGAGAAATGTCTGGAGAAGATAGAAAAAAGGACGGATCCACCATCCGTTGGCACTGGCCTCATTCACTGCCTCCACCATGCAGCCTCAGAAGAATTAAACGCAAGGGAATGAGTTCTTGCCAGAAAGGGAAGGTACCCCTCCTTTTCACAATAACACTTTCCTTTGGTTTTTTTGCAGCCCAAGGAGGAGAAGCATCTTTGCTAGTGTCACAACCCAACCTAAACACCACCGTGAATAGAGACATTTTGCTGTCGGTGGCCCATACCGCCAGGAATCCCCCGGTCATCGAGTGGAAGCACACTTCGCCCAGGGGCACGACTAAAATAGCCGAGTGGAAGCCGGGCAGTTACACCAACATATCCCTCAGTTATGAGAACCGCGTCAACACTTACGAGAATGGCTCTCTTCAGCTGCTGCAAGTGGAGATGACAGATTCCGGTTATTACTTAGTCACGGTGAGGGACGAGTTCGGAAACACCATCTATGGCACCATCCTATTGAATGTTTATGGTATGAAATGAGAGGATTTGCTATTTTGTCTCGGGCCAGCTGGCCATGATGTCCTCTTTAGCAGGGATGATGGGATTTGTGGCCCAAGATATCTGGAGGGCACCAGGTTGGAAGAGCCAGTCTTAGGAGAAAGCAGGGTATACATGTCTTAGAATAAGCACATATGCGTATTTTTTCTGCCACTGCAGGAGGGCTATGCCACATGTCTTGCATATGAAGCCCTGCAGAAGTCAGGAGGGACAAAAGTGGGGGGCAGGGGGGTGAATCTGGCACCGACTGCTTGCAGGAACCAAGATCGAACTGGATTAGCTGTGCTCACTTGTTCAGCAAACTCTTAGGACAAATGATCTGTGGTCAACTTCCTTCACCATGTGTTCCGGGTCTATTTCCCTCCCCAGAAATTCTCTACGAAGACTTGCATTTCGTTGCTGTCTTTTTCACCTTCCTCACAGCAGTGTCTGCCATCCTGGTCTGCTTCATGTGGTTGTGCAATAAGTCCATATACTTGATTCAGAATGAGCAACGGCAGCTTAGAGGTAAACTTACCTGGGCCGGTCCGGCTTCTTCTGTTTGTTCCATTTTGTTTACTCTGCCTACCCATCACTTCTTAAGATGCTGCTGTCGATACTGTGGGGAGTGAGCTGAATCCTGAAGAAGCCCAACAGCTACAGTCCACAACAGCAGCTTTCCTCAACTCGGTGTTGCCCAGGGGTGTACAACTCCCACAATCCCCAGCAAGTATGACTACATAGTTGGGCAGGTCAGGTTGGGGAAGGTTCCTCTCCAGGTTAAATCACTCTGCAGCGGGCCATAGAAGCATCTTGTCTTTCATGTGCATGCACATAAATTTAGGCCTATGGCTGCTCGAAGACCATTTGCTGTCTCCTTACCTTGCATGGCAGCTGGAGGAATTTATTTTGACTATGAACCTACTATAAAACAATCACACGAATATCTAATTTGGCCTGCTGCACACCAGGTGTGTAGAACAAATCCATCAACCAATGGCCATTCAACTCGCTGGGGATGATGGGTGTTGAACACAAAACATCTGAGAGAGGCCAGGTTGTGGCAGGCTAGAGCAGGGTCTTTGGGTGGGTGTCTGTGGGGGGACAGAGTAGCAGCATCTGGCATAACAGGACATGGCTATCCCTGTTTTTATCTGTGAAATTGTGGAATTTCAGCTGTGATGAAGGTAGGTGTGGTGTCATGATACAGAGTCTGGTACTTGGGCAATCCAGGTGCTATTCTCCATTCAGTCATGAAGTGCACTGGCAGACTTTGATCCTGTCACTGGCTGGATGACTGTCACTAACCTACCTCACAGGGTTGTTGTGAGGATAAAACAGAGAGAAGAACCCATGTATGCCTTGGGTTCCTTGAAAGAGGAAAAGGGCAGGATATAAATTTAATAATACAAACCGAGGATTTTCATGCATTTTAAGGAATTTTTGTTCAAGCTGACCATATTCCAAATGCCTTGAGAAAGTTCAAGTCCATACACGATTTTACTTTATATAATGCTTATTACTTCTTTTCTATACACTTTTCTAGGAGTGCTTTAGGATAGGTCATTGCCCTTTCCATTTTAAGAGCTGAGGACTGACATGGAGACATCTTTGACAGGTCCCAAACATCACCAGATACCATACTGAACGCCTTTCTTAGACGCTTTCGCTTCTAACTGCAGCCCACTTAACGAAAGCTGCTGTGTGGCCAGGTGCAATGCGGAAAGCCAGCAGAACAGGGAGCTGGATGTCAGTCTTTTTCTCTTCCTGATGGCCGGACCAAGAGTCTGGTAGCAAGATGGAGCAACTGCTGGGGCCCACCAAAGAAGCAGCTCCGTAACACTATGGAGGGTGGTTTAAGAATGCGTCCTCAGTTCATGCAGGTCTAGGCTGGGTTACTCAACAGGCCAGTGCCCTGGACAAACCAAGCATGCCACATTTGTATCTATGCTAAGCAGGTGCTGCTCAGCAGGGGAATCCATGTGGAAAAGAGCCCCTGGAAGGAGCTTGTTTGACAAATGTCTGGCTTGAACATAAGCCAGGGGAAAGAAGCTGATAAAGAAACCTTTTGCATTCTCTGTTACTTTCTTTCCTCCCCACCTTGTTTGCAAACTGCACGGTTCTGCCTGACATCCTTTGGGAGGTTTCAGGCATACAAAGAAATAGACAAACACTGGGGGTTACTTTACGTTAGCAATCACAGTAGCAATCGAGAACACCTGCCATGAAGGAAGGAAGGAAGAAAAAACATGTTCCAGAGATATTAAGCAAATTAGACATTTTGCAACAGTCCTTTCCATAGAGTTTGGAGCAGCCTTCCTTACCCTGAGGGATACTGGGAGTTGTAGTAGTGAACACATCTGGAAAGCATGAGGTTGGAGGCACCCAAGGAGAGGCCCAAGGTATTACTCCCAGTTCAGTCTCCTGATGCTGGGGACAGGGAACATTCTGTTATTCCAGCTCTGACCTGCAGATTCAAGGGGTAAACCCCAGAGACAGGTTTACCTTGCTCCATGAGAATCAAGTCAGAGTTGGTTCTCCTCAACACAAGCAGTTCCCTTTTTTTGCACCATTGATAGTTACGTATGCGAGCTTACCCAGGGCTACACAATTTGAAAACCTTCCATCTGGAGCCATCCTCTCCTTTCCTTGGGTCTCATTTTCCTTTCCCTTAAAACTGTGCTCTTGGCAAGCAGCTGTAGCTTTGTAGGAAAATACATTTTGCAGGAGTTCATGTGTCTGACTTTACAAAATACAGTCCTCTAATTGAGGGGCTGTCATAGATCTATCCTTTAATTGAAAAGCTGTCACGGCAAAATCTGGTTTGAAATCAAAGAATGCTAAGAAGGGAGATAGGAGGCCTTGACCTTGTCCATCAAGAACCAGCTCCTAAACAACAGACAAACATACCCCAGGGTTGAGCTGGTCATGCTCCTCCTTGCTAGGGTGAAATGACTGTTTTAATTATAGTCATTTCAACATTGGCTACGCATATAGATTAGCCTATGCAAAATGGTGCCCCTTTTCGGTCATGGATTCAGCATACCTCCAGCCCTTGGCATCCTTAGAAAGATCTGGGAATGAAAGACCCCTGCCTGAAAGTCTGAGGAATTGACGCCAATCAGTGAAAACTGATTTTCCACATTTCATGATTGAACTTCCCCCCTCAACAACTGAAACATTTGTAGGCTCCTGGACCCTTTAACAGGGCAAGCAAAAGGTGGTAGGATTTCTAAGACAGCTAACCATACAACCAGGCTTGGGTGTCTTCCACTGTACTGCAGAAACATTGCACATACGACCGAGATCTCTCTGTGTCTGTGTTTGTGCAGAATTGTGAGCAGCTCTGCTTCCAGTGAAAACATTGATCATGCTTCAGGTGGCATTCATAGGGTTGAAAGTGCAATCTTAATTCTCAGAATACAATCTGGGTTAATTAGTGCACAGTCCTGAGTAAAACAGCCCTGCCTAGGAGAATATGCCACCACATGTCCTCATTAAATTATGCTTGGTGGTTTGCTACCACATTTAAGGGACCTGCACTGTTGGCTCATACTATGATTTCATTTTGGAATATTTCCTTTCCAATTGTTCTGCTCTTAAATCAACAGTGTTCTCTGTTCACTTCCAGAAAGCACCACAGAAGAGACAGAGCTGCAAATGATGGGATGTTAGCCAAGAACTACTGTAAAAAAGGCAGCAGTTGATTATCTACCTCAAGAGGGAATGAGAGTACAAGAGCGGAGCCGGATCATCAGGCACATCAAATATTTTGCAATTTCTTTGCCTGCACAATGCCTTCTATGTAGAAGAGATAACAACACTCAATTGAAAAGACAGCCAAGTAACAAAAGGCCATGAGAAATGCCATCACTGCAGTAGCCCCATTTAAAATGGGCATGTTCCAAGAGGACAGAATGCTTCTGTTGTTTACTCTGTATGTTCTTAAGATACCTAACTTTGCACTGATAATGTCAAAGATTGCATGATGGTAAAGGCACAAAGATTTACCATCTTAGACAGAAAATGCTCTGCAACTCCCTACGCTCCCCAGCTAGATTTTGACGCATATGGGTAGCAGAAGGAATCACTGCACTGGAAAAAAGTGGGAACTTTCGACCTTTTTCAAATACATTAAACAGTTAATGGGCATCTGGCGACCGGTCATGACCCTGCACCCTTCTCCAAACTGCTGGTTTGTTTGGAATTGTTCCTATTAGTTCATGTGTGCTCATTAGCCCCCTGACATTGGTCAGTAACAAAATGAACACTCTTTATTTCCCGCATTTGTATTCCCCTTTTTCTACAGCAGTCAAGGCAACAGCTGTTGGGGCAATCGCATTTTATTCTTGCGACAATCTTGTGAGGGAGGGTCAGTCCGAGAGTGGCATGTCACTTCATGGCAGAGTTTCTAGCCTGGGAACTACAATCCAGTATTGTGGTCATGGCTTGAATCAACCTTTTACATGCTATCTCCTAAATCTATGTAACTTTGAATTGTGGTAGCATGAGGCAGCAGTCTATGAATTTGTAAAATATTCTGCACTAGTGGCAGTGATGCTCAAACTGTCCTTAGGTGTGGGTGCTACTGAATGCTGAAACTGGCAAAGGAACTTTTAAAGTCTTTTGATAATTATTAAGAAAATGTGGTGCTAGAACCATTTGACAGCATCAATGCTCTCATTTTAAAATTAGGGTATTTCATGCTGCCCAATTCCATACAAGTTATGGCACTTGTTCCTAAATTCAGTGTCAACAGGCATTTGGCTATGATCCAAGTGGTATATGTATAAACACAGTGCAAAGCTATTCAGTGACATTTCAATAAAACACCACCATTGTGGCGTTGTGGGGATCCCTAAGCACCCCAAAATAAGCATAGCCGTAGTGAAGAACTATTTCAAGGCCAGATACATTCCTGTAGACTTCTGCATACCCCTTAATGTGAGCATACTCTACAAGGAAGCAGATAAAGCAATTTAGGCAATCTCTTGTGTAAAATGGGGCTACAAACCTGGTATCCTTTGTTCAAAAAACACTGTGATAAAGCATTTGTCAAAGGATAAGGCAACAATCATCTCAAAAATTGCATTGTTTAATTCATTTTTCGGAACCTGCAGGAGAATTTGCATGTGGAACTGCGGGCATGTGATGTTATTGGAGGGTATTCCTGGATATTGTTTTACTAGTTCTGTCACTCAGCAAAAACAATCCAAGAGCCAATAAGAGCATGCAGAAATACAATTCCTAACACTTTCCTAACTTTGCATGTTGCCTCTTGATCAGATTCCCTTCCATTAAACCTGTGCCTAAAACAGTTCTTGGCATGCTGCTTATTCTAGGAGCAGGGGGTCAAAGCGGCCATTAGTAGTTCCATTTTGTACACGAAGTTGCGCCCTTCCATTTTGTTCCACTGAACCTCTTTGAATGGACCGCGAAGGTAGTTCCATTTACTGTCTTGCAGCACATCACTTTTGGGGAGATCTTTGCACTGGCACCGTGGAAACTGGACCATAATTTTGTTGCCGCTTTCTGGACCATTGCGTACTGCAGGAGAAAGAAGCACAGGGACACGGACATCAGTGTGAGTGATTTGCGGCTGTAGAGAAACTGCACACTCCCCGATTTGAGTCAGCACAGGAAAAGGTCACACTGCAGGCAGGGTGAAGGGAAGCCTCACTCATCCTTACTGGACTGTTTTTCCTCCTGATCTGCAGCAAGTGCGTTCTCTCTCCCCCGGTCCACCACTACCATATTCAAAGGAGGAAAGCAGCAATCGCCAGGAACCAAAGAGGTACTTGGCAAGTGCTTACTTATGCCCTGTAGGGTAGATCTGTGTCTCTTGAACAGTCAAATCATGTACCATCTTAACCCAGCCTTCCTCAACTTAGTGCTGGGCAGCTGAAATGAGAAAATGCATTACAAATTTTGCTTTGCAGTTGTGGTAAAGCGCCACTAGAATTGTGGCATGTATGCAGGATGTCTGGCCCATAACCAAACCCCTTTACCTAGAAACACTACAGGGTTATAACTAAGTGGCAGAGCACACAATCTGCATTCCAAAAGTCCCTGTTTCAATTCCTGGCCTCTCAAGGTAGGACTGAGAAAGACTCCATCAGAAATCCTGGAAAGCAGCTGTTAGACACCAGAGAACACTGAGTAACATGGACCAAGAACTGGACACAGTATAAGACAGCATCCTGGTTCTGCTTCCTTGGAAGGTGGAGATCCTTGGTAGGATGCTCCAGGTGAACCGAGAAGTCTCCTAGATAGGAACCTCGTGGGTGACTAGGGGGCTGCTTCACTGAATGCAGTGGGATTTCTGACCAAAGCATAAACCTGGATTGTTCATAGCTCTGGGGCTGCGTGGGAGTAACCCATCATTCCTGCCATCCTTGCTCCAGGAATTCCCTTTCCATCCTCCAGCAAGAGTTTATTTTAAGCATGCTGTTACAAGACCTCAAAAAGACAAAGTAGATTTTAAAAGATGGAAGTAGATGATTGGAATGTGCTAGCTGAATCTTCAGCTGTAGGTCTAGACTTTCTTTTAAAGTAACTTATCTATGACACTCCTACTGCTAATTGTGTTGCATAATTTTATCCAGCATCAAATTTACACCTCACAATTCGCCTTCACTTTTTAAAAAACAAGCAATAGAGTGCAACAATGTGGTATTTTACTGAGCTGGTCTCTGAAATCACTGTTCTTTTCTATCCAGTTCATACCCTGGGAGAACCACAGTTTGCAATGTCTTTTAACTTTGAACACAGTACCTGAAATGGAATAATCTCCATTTGGTGATGCTACGGTTATGGCTGATGCATTGCCAATACTCTCGACTGGGCCCAAACCAACATGATTACTGAAACTGAGCACATGCCACCCCATCACTTTGGCCAGCTGCTGAACTGCATGTACTTGATGCTGCGACATCTGCAATAGAGAGGGAAAAATAAAAATAAAAAGACTGGTGTGACATTTCAATTCTGTTTGTTATTCCAAGCTTCTGAAATGTTTACTGTGGTTATTTTCCCAAAATACAGAACAGTGATTTAACTGTCAAATGAGTATCACAGTGCTCATTCTCAGAAGTTTACTTTCTGTGTAGTTAATTTACAACAGTCCCCTTACCGCCTATAGAACTCAGGTTATACTAGTAATGAAGCAGTCGGGGGTCCCAGAAAAAATGGTAAATGGGTTATGTCTCACATCTTAGTGAAGTTAAATTTACTACAGAAGTCTTTCTAGCACTTCTCAGAAAGCACTTCTGAGAAAGTAGCAGTCATCAGTGCAGAAGGTCTGGTGGTACACAATCATGTACTCAGGAACTATCCACATTCATATGTGCCAAGTGCTAATTGTTTTTGCTTTTCAGTTTTTTTTACAGCTGTAATCAATCACTCTGGCTAAACAAGCAGTTTACAAACCACCAACTTTGTACTGAAAATAGGTTTTGGTTGCCACTCCTTGCTCCTGGCGCCTTTTCTTTATTGCTACTTGTCACTAGCACATGCTCTTACAGCTGCAATTGTGAATTTAAAACTTCTCCTTCGAAAGACAAAACTGCATTAAATATAAGGCTACTACCCCAGGAAATCCACTGAAACATGCACACAAAATATCCCACCAAAAAAAAAAAAAAAAAGGTGGGAAGGTTTCTGTGGTTGTGTGTGTGTGTGTGTTTTACCTGAGAGAGAAGAAAATCTTGCAACTCTTGTTCTTGATGGGAAAGTGTGATCACTCTTCCATCTCTGTGTACGACCCTGATCTGTTCAACACCAATATTCAACTGCAGCTGAATGGACCTTTGGAAAAAAAGAAGACATTAATACCAGTGGAGTTTCACAGAGATGGCAGGTGGGAGAATAGAGAGGGAGGGTGGCAAATTTTTTAAACATTCCTTTAATCACAGCACTCTTTAAAGCAGAGTGATGTAAAGCATTAATTTAAACCCTGCATAGAGAAATAGCACAGTAAACACTTAGAAGTTTCATATTTCTTTAGCATTTACAGTCAGAGAAATTTCTATCCCCTCCTTTGAGTGACAAAGCACTACTCAGGCCAACTTACAACCATTTAAAATTAATTTAGAAACACAGTCCCATAAAATGCAACAAAAAAAGTACAACAATGGCAAACCACAGAGAAAAATGTAACTTTCATATAAAGACAACAGCTACTTAGCAGACAAAAGCCTTCTGGGATAAATCTGCTCCAACCTGGAACTTGGGGATCCCTGCCTGGTGTGTCCCCCTCACCACCACGGCAGCCAACACATAAAACAACTGCACAGCTTGCTCCCCCAAAGTCATAAAAGTGACCCCAGAGAAGGTATAAAGGGACATCCTGATGGGGCTCCAGCCTCCTGCCTTCCCACTCTGGATGCACCATGTTTACAGACAAAAATGGCTTACAGAGTGGGAAGGCAGAAACTGCCCCCACTGCTTCCTCCGTCTTGCATGGGATGCCATTAATCCTCCAAGTATGGAGGTTTACAGGCATCCTGACTGGAGGACACTGGCAGTTACAGACACCGGAAACTCATCATCCTCACTGGAATTGTACTGAGTTGCCCGACCAGCTCCCCCTCTAAAGGGGAGAGGTACTGCTGATCTCCCACTCACTTGCATATCTGCTCGTAACCTTGGGAGGTGATCAGGACTTTGACGCTTGACTCATAGACATCATTGATGTTTGACCAGTGAGCCTGAATTTGTGGATCCTCGATACGACTGGCCAGACTGTCGATGGTCCGAGCTGTTCTGAAACAATATACATAAAATCCTAGAAGGTTTAATGATAATCTCTCTTTCTCTGCTTCTTGGGGGTGCATGGGAGAGGGTGGATTAGTGGGTTTTGCCTGACAGAATTGCACCTACACAAAATACGCCTATACGTGTAAAGATATATGGTAACATTTAACTTCAGCAGTAGTGACAGACCATAATGTTTCTAAGATTTGATGCCTAATTGTAAATGAAGCTTCTGTTGTGCATCAGTGTTTTATATGTTTCCATAAAGACAGTAGAAAGCATCTATTATTGATAAGCTTCAACTGTATACTAAGTGAAACAGCAGGTCAAGAAATGCAGAGAGAGATCAGAAGCATTCCAAAGAATGAGGCAGAAGTAGCCATCAGTAATAATCCACACATTGCAAAGGAAAAAGAATGAGTGAACTTTTCAGCAATCGTCTTTCTTTATAACATGGAGGGGGAAACTTCTGTCCCGTGGGCATAGGTGGAGCAGTGAGCCTTCCTGCTGCTGTTCTAGCAGCTTCACCTACCTGACATCCGCTCCGAGACAGACCAAATCACTGAGTGAGAATCATCCTTCCGATGGGCCTACTGGGGACCAAAAGAACTCAGGTCCATGGGCATGCCTGCTCTGCCCTCATCTTGGTCACCTACCCCTATTTTACCATAAAGGCACATTTTTACTAGCTCCCCTGTTCTATTATTATTTCTCTTGGCTTTCTTTGAGCAGTGTAACAACCATTTTATCCCTATAGCGATCCTGTAAGTAAGCTAGGTTAAGAGGATCAAGGTAAGGGCATCAGCTTAGCTTCGTAGTTGAGTAGAGGTTTGTACCTGGGTCTCCCTGGACTGCATTCCAACCCTCTAATCACTCAAAATACAAATCGGGACCTCCATCCCACCCCTCTACACACACAGATATTCCTATTTTATTGTGGTCTACTAATGGTATTCTCTCTTTTATTTTATTAGGGTTCCTTCAGCCCCACTCGCTTTCAGTGTTTCATGCCACAATGGATCCCAAGAACCCCGCTCTCTGGTTATCTACCAACAAGGCTCTTTGAACAATGCAGCCAATTGAAAACCACCATCTCTTAACTACTGTGTGTTTCTCTATATACCAAATGTGCACAATATTCTTCACATTAAACAAATTGACCCGTTAGTGCTCGCTGGTACAGAAAGGGGACAATTACAATCTTATGTAAAGCATTTCCCAGAAATAGATATTAATTCAGTCCGTGATAAAGATCTTTGTGGAGCAGGTGAAGGCAACGGCTGTGTTCTTTCTTTCTCTCACCAGCCTAAAGAGCAGAATTCCCATCTCTGATAGGCAATTCCAGGGGGATCACCCTGTACTCCTCACCGGTTTCAGGACTAGGTCCGACAAACTCTGGCAGTCCCTTCCTCTCCTGCCCTTTCATGTGGCTCACCCTTGCCCTATGGTAACCCCCTGTTGTAAAAGAGAAGCACCCCAAGTATTTAAAATGAATGCTGTCCAAAGGTGTGGTTGCATACCTGCGTCTCAAGAAGATGTGTTTCGCCTGCTTTATAATCTTCTCCAGCAGCCCCTCAGTTGGTTGCAAGGAATTGATTTCGTTTTTATCAAACGCCTGCGGCCCTGCCAGTCTCATTCTCTTGGGGCCAAAGGGTGCACTAGCTGGGTGAGGCATCATAGCGGAGCTCAGGGTCTGCTTGTGAAACTGTAGGAAAGAGAGCAGTGAGGCGCAGCCAGAGCCATGTGCTAGTTACAACCTCAAATCAGAAATGGCACAGCCCATCTGCTGCAGAACTGTTACTGCAGTCTCCAGTGGTGCCAGGCAGTGGTGGGAAGCAATGGTCTACTAACAGAATCTGGCAGTAAACCACGGCTTTCCCTTTTGGCTAGAAAGCGCTAATGATGCTGGTAGATGTTAGCACAACTTCATTAGTGCTGGCACTGGGACAGCATTGGGTGCTTCCCTGAGCAACAGAGATACACAGTGTGATCAAGTGATGTTTACTATAATACAATACAGAAGCAAAACAGTGGTCCTTCAGGCTTGTGGCTTGCAGCTAAAGATTTCCTTCTGCCAAAGCAGGGGTGGAGAACCTCAGGGCCAGGGGCCAAATCCAGCTCTCCAGAAGCCCACACCCCCTTTCTTCCAACCACTAATCATTTCATGGCTTCCTGGCTTTTATGTAGTTGTTCCCCATTCTAAAATATGGAAATGCCACTCTTAAAGCTTAGTTATTAGCAGGAAGGACCATTTTTGGCCCCATCCACCAATGCAAAGCAGCCCCCAAGAGCTTCTCTGAAAGCGAATTTAGTCTTCAAGTGGAAATAAGTTCCTAAACCCTGCTCAGAGGAAGATGCAACCCACTGGTTTGTAGGCTTTGGATAGGCAAATTTGTTCTTGGTACGCCTAAGGCTCAAGAATAACAGGAAGGACAGGGAACATGTATTGTGAAAGCTGGTGCTTCAGAGGAATATATTTTCTATTCAGATATATCAAACTAGAGGTTTGCTGCAAACCATTGACAGTCCCCAGCCACAGAGGAAGTAGCTCTGGGAAGAACAAGAAGCTGAAGAACATTGTTCCCTGGAGGTCTGTTGGTTTCATTCCATTTGTGCTCTTAAATCCTGGAATGGACTGAGAAATGTTTCCCTAGGATTCAAACATGTTACTTGGGAATTCTCCCTATGTCACAGAACAAGTACTCCCCCTGGAGTTTCTGATATACTACATAATCTGATATTTACATAATCTTTTCTTTTTTAATGGTGGGCAGAAGTTGTACAGCCACACACCAAGATCAAGACATATTAATGGAAACAAGACAACAGGAACACTTTTGTGTCTAGGCAGAAGCCCATCTGCACATCTACACCACAGCTTTGCTTCTCAGTAATCCATCAAAAGCTATTCTCCAGTGGAATGCACTCCTAACTTCTGAGAGCCCAAAACTTCATCAGCACAAGCAGAATCCACAACTTTTCTGTCTAGTTAAAGAGGCAGAAGCCCATTTGCACATATACAGTACCTACTGTAGTTTTGTCTAACTGGCTACTGTCTTACTACAAAGCATAATCTTTTAGGAGCCTGGGGAAATCACAGGAAAAAAAACAAATTTATGGGACACAGACAGCTCTTAATAAAAAGCATTGCTTTCCAAGGATGTCACTGAAAAGAGGAGAGTGAGGAAGCAAGCAGGAAAGGACATTTACCTCCCTGATCAATTGGTGCAAATTATGTTCTAAAACATAAAGGTGATCTTCTGGACTTTGTTTCTCAGAAGCAGACCGTTGGGATTTCTTGTCATCTGAAGAATGACACAAAGAAATAGACAGCTGCAGGCCTAGAAAATAAAAAGAGAAGATATGGCTGAGTTTTCCATGTAGTTTTTAGCCATGTGCACTTGGTTAACTCATGCCAAGTTATAGCAACTCATGCTATCTGCCCTGTATATGCTTGCTAATTTCTTATATTTAGATGGTAAACATGAACACACAAAAACACACATTGTGAATGACTTGGCCTGGATCAATCTATAAAAGTAGTCCCTCAGCCACTGCAGAAGCCTGTTTTGATGATGTTCCAAATCAGGGGTGTTTTATCTAGCTCACTTGGGTACCAAATGCAGCCCGGGGGTGTTCTCCAGATGGTCACAGCTCCTTTCCCACTGTTTGGTGGCTAGGTACTTTTGCACAGTTTTTCCCTCCATTATAAAAGGTTGGAACGCCTCTTCTAAGTCTAAGTTACTGGTAGTAAAACCTTTCAGTTCAAACAACCAGGTGGTTTTAGTATTTTAGTCCCACACTTAGAATCATAGAATAGAAGAGTTGGAAGGGGCCATGAAGGCCATCAGGTCCAACCCCCTGCTGTTGCAGGACACCAAGTCACACCATCCCACTCAGATGGCTGTCTAGGTTCTCCTTGAATGTATTTTGCACCTGCCTCCACTGGAATGCAGACCAGGAGAGCTGTACTTGGGCTCCAAAAGGTTCAACCACAAGTATATTCAGTGTTAACACTTCCCATAAAGCAGTTCCCTGAAAAGTCATTATACCTGAAGTGCATGGAGTTCAAATGACACATTTCATTGTCAACTCTTTCCTTGTTCAAACAAGCAATTGGCTAGATCCCCATTTTAAATTTTCAAGGGATTCTTACCTGGGAATGGCTGGGAAATTATTTGGTTCTTCACAACTATGTGAGGAATCTGAGACTTAATCTGAACAGCTTCCCGTGACAGTTGGGCAAAGATTTCTTTACACAGCAGGACATTCTGTGAAGTTTCCAGCTTTGTTTGCCAATGCATGGCTCCTGAAGGGGAGAGAAAAAGACTGCAACTGTAAAGCAATATCAAAAACACCAAAATTACTAAAATCGGGGAAGAAACTGATCTATTTATATGAATGTTCAGGAGATTATGCTACCAAACTGAGTAGAAAGAGTGAACTGATGGAATTAGCAAACAAACTGTATCTTCTAAAGACATCAAGCTGTAGAATGTTCTTAACAATGCCTACATAATGCTGCGTAGAGCAAAAAAGGAACACTTATTTTCAGTTATAGATCTTTGTACCCCAAGAATATGTCGGGTTTTTCAACAGGGGATTTTACTTTTAAAGAGCCTTATCAATACTGAAATTTGTGCATGTATTACCTGGTTGACAAAAGTCTTCCCATGGGGTTGTTTAAAAACATGCGCATGCATACGCGCGCGCACACACACACACACACACCATTGTCTCACACACTCCTCCCAGTCTTCTAGGTATCCCCTAACCTAGTCCACCAGGTGGGAGAGGTATATCCTTTGGGGACCTGTTGTCAAAACAAGGCATCCTTGGGCTTGCTTTTTGGCTGAAAGGCGTTTTGGCTGGAAGAAGAAGAGGGTGATGATCAAGCCAAACAGAAAAGGAAGGCATCAGAGAAATTGCCAAGGGGCATATGAAAATGGAACTTTACAAATAAAATAGAACCAGCAACATTCCACTTATGCAAAAAGTTCACCCAGCTTGCACTTGAAAGCTGTAGCAATGCACATAAGACAAAAAACTGCTTCACCACTGGACTCAAGTCAAACAGAAATGAAGAAGAACCAAAGGCCAAGAAAAATAGGAGTGGGCTTTTTAAATGGATCAGACCAGTTTTGTCACCCCAAGAAAAGCAGAATGCCTAGTCTGGCATTCTGTTCACACAGTGGCCAATCAAGTGCCTGCAGCCAACCCACAAAGCAGGACATGAGTGCATCAGCGTTCTCCATCTCCAAGAATGAACATGCTGCCAATGTTAACTGTAAGCAAGCGGAAGGGTAAGACAACTAATGTCTCTTAGGGTGCAATCCTATGTATGTTTAGACAGAAAATATGTCTTACAACTCCCAGTATTCCCCAGCAGCTACACATGCCCAGGAATGCAGCCTTTGGGAGTTCTGTTCTCTTCTCTTCAACTCCACAGTCCTTATCCATATATGGGGATTGCTGATTATATTTCTAACCAAAGATGACCGTGGTCACATTGCTAACCTAAATAAGTAAATGTCTTAAGGTGCACACAGATTGGCTCGTTATCAGTAATGGTAGCATGAAAGATGGCCAAAGACATGGCACAGTCCACAATGCATGTGCTGTCCTGTTATCATGCACCTCCATTATACTATAGAAAGTACACTTGGTCCCTGGAATAGCTCTCATTTTTTCCAGCGTAATCGAAAATATAATGTCATTATAGCAATCTTTCCCAATCTGGTGCCCTGGGGAATTGATGGGAGTTGGAATCTCACACAGAATAAACATTAGGAGGGGCGGGAAACATATTGGTTGCTAAGGAGACCCCAGCATTAGAGTAACATTTACACACCCTCTCTTGTATATCTCACAGCAGGAATGAAAAATGCAGAATCCTGTTAGAACTAGGTTCCACAAATTCCTAGGTTTTATAGCCATAGCTCCCAAAGAAGTTGGTGCTTCAGAAAATGAATTTTCATGATTACACATTTCAGAGACAGAATAGTCAAAGACAGAACATAACTATACCTGGCTTTGATTTCACAAAAGGTCTTTTAAACAGATTTACTGTACCAAGATCCCCTATATCTGGTGCTTGTTTCTGAATAGATACCTATATTTTAAAAAAAGGAACATTGGTTATTTTGTATTCCATAAACCAGCTTAATAAATGCAAAGAATAAAATATTATGAAACCTTGATATAGGCAGATCCCTCTAAATCACTTGGGATTTGAACATCTAGAGGACAATAATCTTCAGGAATCTTTTTATCCAAGTCAATGTCTGTGTTTTTTATGACTTCAAATGTACCATGATGAGGAAAGAGAGAACCTAAAAGGGAAAAGTTGCAAGCAATCAGTCTCTTGACAGATTAGACAGCCTATATTGCATACATTCAAGCTGGTTCAATTCTGTAAAATTTTAGACTATCTACCTGCAACAGAGATCAATTGTCACACGAAAAACATTTGCAGACTTCTGCATTTTACTTTTGTCTCATACCTATATTTTCTCTAAAACAATAACTTCAGTTACCCTACAAAAGCACAGTGTGCAACATGTTCTTATATTAACGATTAAACTGATATAAAGGTAATATAATATACCTGACACAGTGCATCACATGAATGATTAGTACACATTAGTGATGATGAAATAAAATGTGTATCACTTTTTTTGTGGGGGTTAATGCTGAGAGACTGTAGTTTGCCCAAGTGAATTTGTGGTAGAGATGAGATGAGATCGGAAGCTGGATCTGCCCAGTTTGCAGCATTGCCTCTTTGCCGTCACTGCTCAAAACTAAGTTACTGCAAACTTTAGGCAAGTATGAGGAGTAATTACCATAATTCAGGGGTCAGCAGCTAGTACCTGCTCCTCAGCCTGTTATGTTTCTCCTTCTCTGTTTGTTGGCTCAGCTCAGAAGGACAGACAGAAACCTGAGATCATAATGCTATGCATGTTTGGACAGAAAAGAAGCCATAGAGCTCCCAGGATGCCACAGTCAGCATGCCTGAGAATGCTGAGCACTGCAGGGTCTTTTCCTGCCTAAAACTACATACAGTCACATCCCACGTGTCTGAGGAAGAGCACCTGTACAAAGACCTATTATCAGGTTCAGGATACATTTACACTAGCAATGGCAACCTGTGGCCCTTAGAGATGTCATGCACAGCAACTTTCATCTGCCCTAACTAGCATTTGCTAATGGTGAGGCATGATGGGAACTGCAGTTGAACAGCATTTGGAGTGTCACACATTACCCACCCCTGTTTAAGATCAAGCCTTCAGTTATTTTACCTGCACTTCTATAGCTCAAGTCCCCAAGGATTTTGTCGCCCACTTTCCTCAGCTTCCAGTGCTGTCTCAGTCTTAGCAATTCAGAGTTGAAGTCTCTCTGTCGTTTATTTTCCTGGCTTTCTGCAACTGATTTAGATAACCTTTCTGCTCCTTTCAGAAGAATCTGAGCTGCTCCAGCTAATGATTTCTTCTTGGAGATCAACTGCAACACCTGAGGATTCTAGAAATGAACAACTCAGAATGATTATTTGTGATCTTGTCCTGATCCTTTGCAGTGGGCAAATGCTGACCCTCCAGTTGTTTAATATTCATGTTGCATCAGCTCTACCTACTTTAGCCAATGATGAGAGTACACAGCCTATTCAATCCACTGTGGCTCCTTTGGTTCATGCAAACAGATGAGCATACTAAACATAGGTTAAACAACATGCTGACTTGAACTATGAACTGCCAGTTTGTAGTTTTATAAGCCAATATTCATGAACAAATCTGTGTTTCTAAAGGAAACAACAATCCAGGATATCTGGTTTGGACAACATGTTACACCTATAATATTTTCAAATGAAGCCTGGAGATTAACACACATTCTTAGGAAGATGCCCCTGTTAACAAAACTTCCACACTGAAATAATTCATGCTGTAATATAACCAAAATTGAACATTAAATGCATTCCAAAAATTCAAGGTTCTTTCAGCCAGAATGAAGAAAAAATGCTGTACCTGCTTTTGGGGAAGTGGCTCTTGCACAACCGGATCCAGAGTCATGAATTTTTTATCTTTGACAATACTGAGAACATCATACAGCACACACATTTCAGTCAAAGCACTTCTTAGGTTATTCCTTACTGAATCCCAAGGCCAGAGAGAAGGCTGAAACTTTACCAAACCTAATGGACACAAAGGGAAAAAAACAGTTGGATCTATAAATCTTACCACTTGGAGCAAGCCCATCAAAATCAATGGAGCTTAAGTTAAAAATCAGCTGTAGCCCAACAGGGTCTGGTGGACCAGAGGCTTTCCATCTCTAACTTAAGTCAGTCATGACTAATTTAATACAGAACCAGAGCAACCAAGGTTCTGGCTTGATATAAGGCAACTTCCAATGTTCTACCAACAACAGATGGCCAAGCCAACTATTAGATAGGTGAGGTGGCAGATATGAGGGTACTTTTAAAAAGAAGCAAGGTGCAATAGTTCCTATTTTTACCAGACTAGGGAGAAAAGTGAGATTAGGCTGTCAGATTTCAGCAATGAACTATTTAAAGGCACATTAATGTATGCATGCAAAACACACTTTGCATGCAGAAAGTTCAGTTTCCAACATCTCCAGGCATGATTAGGAAAGGCCTCTGTATGAATCACTGGACAGCTGTTGCCATTCAATGTAGGGCAACTTTTCCAAGGCTAATTTGCCAGCCAAATGTTTTTGATTTCCACTTCTCTCATGCTCAGGTAGTAGGACTCAAAAGATCGTGGGAGATGTTGTTCAAAAGCTGGTGCAGGGTATAAGACAAAGATCTACGGCCCTTCATGTAATGCTAGACTGCAACACTCATTCCCATTCTATTGGCTATGATGGCTAGGGCTGATGGAACTTGCAGTCCAACAGCATCCAACGGGCCACAATACCAGTGGAATAGGACCAGTCATAGATCTGGTTTGTACCATTTCCCATGATCTTACATTAAAAGCTCCCTTACCTCCCACCTTGAATTCAAGTGCTACTGGTGCAGTCCACTCTGGCTCCCCACCAAGTTCAAGTACTAATAGTAAGCTCACACTAATATAATGAAATACTAATATAATCCACTTTAGCTCTCTTAAGTATTTGTACGACAGTCTAATGCCCCCACATTCAGTTACTAACTATACAGTCAATTCTTACCCCCCTCCAGTTCACAGTCCCCCAAGCTATAAATATGACAATCTCCTCTAATTCCCCCAACCCCAAATTCGAACACTAAACAGTACAGAATACAGTACAGTCTACTTTAGCTCCCTCCAAACTTAAGTAACAACCCATTCTAGCTGTCGCCCAACTCAAACACCAGCGGTACACTCCACTTTAGCTCCCCACTGGGTTCGACCACCTCATGCAGCCCCCTTCTCGCTTCCTTCACCTTCTTCCTCCTCGTCGTCCGCTCCTCCGGGCCAGTCCCGGCTGGCTCCGGCCTGGCTGGGCTCATCCTCTTCGGAACCGGAGCTCCCCTGGCTGAAGTCGATTCGCTGCGCCAGGCGGGCCAAGTTCTGAGACATGGAGAGCGGCTGCAGGTACGTTTCGCTTCCGTCCAGGCCCACCTCCTGCACATGCTTCTCGCAGGCGGACTCGATGCTGATGCGCACCGCTGGGACCCCCGACATCTTCACCTCAGGTATCTTCCCTCAGCGGCTGCTAGTTTTCCAGACAGGCCCTGCCGAGCATGCGCAGCAGAACTACGGTGTCCGGACAGGGACAGAGTAGAACAGCGACGGAATGGGAGAAATATTCAGATGCCCCCTAGCGGCAGCCAGAGGAAATATGATGCCTTCGATCTTTGCGGAGGGGCCCAAGATTCGAAAGGGGCGGGGACAGAATGGATGCCGAGGGCGTCGTTGCATATACAGAGAACTGCGCAAAACATGCAGGCGATCCACCCTGCGAGGTAGGATAGGCTGAAAGTCAGTGGCTGGCCTAAAGTCACCCAGTGAGCTTAGTAAGCACTAGAACTCAGGTCTCCTGAGGCCCAGGTCCAATACTACAACCTACAATGGCTCGGTATGCTCTCTGTGTATGAAAAAGATAGCCACTGTTGTTGCTGTCTTGTATTAAGCGTCGTAGGAATCTGCTCTATTCTGAGTCACATTTTTGATCTATTTAGCCCAGTACTGTCAATGCTACTTGATATCAACTTTCCGAGTTTTCAGGCAGGATTCTTTCCAAACCCTACCTGAAGATGCTGGGGATTGAACAAGGGCCTTCTGCATGAAAATCTGAGCGCTGTCACTCAGCTTTCCAAAACACTTTCTTTGAACTGATTCTAAGGTTCTCCTCTACGTAAGTCGATTACAGAGTTGATAAGATCAGAGAGTTGCTGGATGTAGTACCAACAAGGGTGTTGAGTCTGATGTTCTTTCTGGAACTTACATGGTGTCAGGCGTAGGTATGGGCTTAAGAAATCTCAGCACTGCAACCTGCTTTTTCGCCTGCCTTTCTTTCTGGTTTGGTCAAAGGTGGTGGCAGTGAGGAGCGGGAGCAGTAAATCTCTCTCTCTCTCTCTCTGCCTATTAAACAAGCTGGATCTATCATGAGAAGAAGCAGCGGTGATGACACTGGCTGTGAGAAGGCATTGAAGCCCATGTATTGCATTTTGCCCACTCTTCAAAACCTGGAATGGCAGAAAGCAGAGGGAAGATTGTCTGAGGGGCAAACCATGCATGACCTTGTGCGCAGTTCCATTGCTGAATGCATGACTTTTACCCCTCACAGATTGCTATCATGTTCTCCATTTATGGGGTTCTGGAGGATATAATCTTTTCTACCCTGCTGCAGAAGTATAGCACCTTACTGTGAATAATGAAGAAATCAACACCGTGAAAGATTGATTGTACATACCTTGGCTCAGTCATCAATTCTATGGGAGACTGCAACCCAGAAATTCAGAAGACTGAGACTTGGAAGCAGTGAAGCAAAGATCAGGTGTGAGCACATTCTACCAGAGACCAAAGCCAACATCATCCAATATTGTATTCTTAATCAGTGTGCGGGTTGTGAAAGCTGGACAGTGAAGGACGCTGACCAGCAGAAAATCGATGCATCTGAAGCACGGTGCTGGAGGAGAGCTTTGTGAATACCCCAGACTGACAGAAAGACAAACATGTGGGTCCCTAGATCCAATGAAGCTAGAGCTTTCTCTAGAACAGGGGTGGGCAATTAATTTTCCTATGGGGCCACATGAGAAACTTTGACAGTTGTTAAGGGCCGGACCAATACACTTACAGCTCTGCTCAGTATATATCTCTATAAAAACAATAAATGAAACATTACAATGATGCAATGAAAACGTGGAGCACAGAACACTATTTAATGAATATTCACAAAAACATTAACATTACATGAAAAGCAATAAATTCAATTCAATTTTACTTATATAGTGCAAATTTACTACATATGTAATCTCCCAGTGCTTAACATAGTAAGGTTGACTTTTAATTTGCCAGTGACCTCATGCAGGCCAGTCAGGGTCAGCCATCGGGCCGGATGTGGCCCTCGGGCCATGCAATGCCCAGGTCTGCTCTAGAAGCAAAAATGACAAAACTGAGGCTGTCATACTTCAGACTCATCATGAGAAGGCAAGACTCTGGAGAAGACAACCTTGCTAGGTAAACTCAAAGGCAGAAGGTGAAAGGGAAGACCAAATATGAGATGGGTTGACTGCATAAAGGAAGCCACAGTCTTGAACTTGGGAGAGCTGAGTGGGGCCGTTGTGGGCTGGACATTCTGGAGGGCTCTCATTCATAGGGTCACCATGAACTGTAGACAGCTTGACAGCACGCAATGCCCTGTGGCAGTCCTGCTCTGGATGTCTGCAATCTGTATGGGGATAGAGCACGATCCCAAAGGAGTAGCTTCATGGCTGTGCTGAGGGTATTTTGCAGAGGGAGTATCTAAAGACCACCACTTTCTTTTAATACTTTTTAAAGTAGCAGCATACCCTGTAGATAAATTGATGATATATTTAAGAACATAATTGCCATGCTGCATCAGACCAATGTGCTTGGTTGACATTTATATCAAGTTGTCCTTTCTTGGTAAGTCACTCGGATCCCATCAGCTTATACTTGAAGTTGGATTTTTTTGCCCCCACACACATTATTTTACACTTGCTTAATCCAAACTGCATTTGCTATGTTGAGGTCCACTCTCCCAGCTTAGATATCCCTTTGGAGCTCCGCACAATCCCTTTTGACTCTAACCACGCTAAATAGTTGGGTGTCATCAGCAGACTTAGCCACTTCACTGCTCCCTCTTAATTCCACATCATTTATGAATAAATTGAAAAGCATTTTATTTATTTATTTATTAAAACATTTTTATGCCACCCCATTCGCCGAAGCCTTGGGGCGGCTTACAACATAGATAAAACAATAAGTTAAAATATCCATATAAAATAATCTTAATTGATTATTGATCCTAGTACAGATCCCTGTGGGGACCCCCCCTCCATTGGAAGAAATTACTGTTTATTCCTAGTTTCTGCTCTGTAACCAGTTACTGATTGATAGGAGACCCCCCCCCTCACCAATTTCACGGCTGCCAAGTTCACTTGTTAACCGTGCACAAGAACTCTTGGACTTTGTGCTGCCTTTTCCAACTTGTAGTAGACATTGTGAGCTTCTGTTATTGTGGTTTTGAGTGTTCTCCAAGCATTCAGAAGGGATTTTACCCTCCTCGCTCCCTATATAACAATTTTATATTGTTATTTTTTGCATTTTAACTTAATGTTTGTACTTTACATTTTAATTTGATGTTATAATTTAATGTTTGTATTTTTTTTCAGCTTAATGTAAGCCGCCCCAAGGCTTTGGCGAATGGGGTGGCATAAAAATGTTTTAATAAATAAAATAAATAAATATAGCTTTACTATAGCATACAGCATAGACCAGGACCCTCTGAGCACGCCCACCAGCCCCTTGTTACCGCCACTGCTTAACACCCGTTTCTTTCTCACTCACCTAAGCAGCCCTAACAAGGACAGTGGCAGGGAAGGAACTCGCAGGCAGGCAGGCGAAAACAGTGACTGCACAGTTGGGAAGAAAATCTTGGGCTGGCTAGAAGAGAAGGAAGAGGAGGTTGCTACAGCAGTGGCAAGAGAGTCACGGCAACATGGCAAATGGCCCCACAGGATGAGGGCCTCTGGATTAAAGATACTCATTGCAGTAAAATGCCAGACAAGTGCCTCCCACAGACGATGATGTGCTTGAGAATCAACTGAATGGGCTCTGCTCCCCTGAGACCTCCACATTAGCAGATCAAAGGAGAGGATGGAAGAAGCGCTTTGGATGGAGGGGCTTGTGTGTTAAGCACAGAGGATGGGATGGTTCATCACCAGCTAACCTGTCTTGGTGCAGTTGCTGTTATACTTCATCCTCCTTCAGGAACACAGAGGCCTGGGCACACAGACTTGGTACTTCAGCTGTAAAATGGGAATACTTGTCTACCTTGCAAGCCTGAGGTTGAATAAGGATTCTGCTGTAGGCATTCGAGCAGGCTGTATCAAAAATGAGAGGAAAAGCAGGGACATCCCAGCAGCCCTGCTGAAAGAATTACTTTTTAGCCTTCTCCTCTCCCTATTCCTTCTCCTTGTAGTTTTGTCTTTTTAAGACTGAAAGCCCTGCAGGTAGAGACTGCCTTGTAGCACTGATTAAACAGAAGCTACTCTGGCAGTCCTTATACCTGAGGAGTGGCATCATACTTCAAATCAATAAATAGTTCCAAGCACCAAAAATAATAATAAATGATAGTTTCTCAATGAGTAGAACTTTATGCTTTCTTATTTCATTAGGAAACATCTTAATAGTAATTAAGGACACAGGAAACATGCTATCAAACATTTTTATAGTATCAAAATGCAGAACAGTTTTACATGTAAAGTTTGAATTAGTGCATTCAGCAAAGATCAGGGCAGTGAATTAATGCTTCTTATGTCAATCTCTCAAGAGGACATGCTAGTACAAGGGGCTCTCCCTTTCTTTCACCCCCAACCTTCAGTTTAAAGGCTGAGATGGAACTGGTTAGTATCACTGGCATTCACACTGTTTCACTGACTTTCATTCTTTGCAGCGATGGGATAAGGAGCCCATGGAATTTTTTTTAGTCCACTCATCATCCCCAGCTATAAACCGTAAGGCAGTCTTCTACAACGTGTTCTGTTAGAACTCCCATCACCAGCATGGCCATAAAGCAGTGACTTGATACCCACTGTTCTCACATTAAATTCAGCTGTATTTCTAGTCAAGGAATCATACTGCAATTTTTATGTGCAAGCGAAGTACATACTATTCTTTTGTGGTGATTAGATACAACTGCAACTGGCTTGAATTAAAGGCAAATTCCACCATTCTCCTGGCTTTCTTTTCCTCAGAACAGGCTTCCCACTCCAGTGTGGTTTCTGCCAATTCAGTCCCGACCAACCATATGCGTTTCCTTGGGCCTGTCAATTCGGAAAAGGAACTCAGCGGGCACAAAATATCCCAGGTATTCTACCGTCTCCGGAGTTGTGTCTGTATGGTAATGTCCTCCTTCCCCGTGGTGGCTAAAACAATGGGTGTGCTCCACACGCAGGTCAAAACCCTAGGGAGTGAACAAAGAATGGATGAGTTTGGGCCCAGGGAACTGTGCAAAGCAGACCATTCCTGTCTGCAGGGCCAGTCCAAGCCATCTTGCTGCTTGAGTAAAGCCATCCATCAGCCCCCGAGGTGGGTTTATTTGGTACCAGAAGCAGAAAAAGCCACAATCTTGTTTCTTTCAACCAGTAGTGAAAATGTAATAAATTAAGGGCACCTGTAACCCTCTGAAATTCAGAGGATTATAGGCATCCTATGCAGCATAGCAGAACAAGGACATGAAGGTCATGGCCACTCTTTCTCTGAAAAGCCCTGCTGCCCAAGTATGGCAGTTTGGAGTGGGAGGGGAGGGGAGGGAGCTGAGGTGTCATGTATCTTGGTGGCATCAGGCAGTTCCCCTCCCCATCTGTTGGAACTCCCCCAGAAGTCGGAGGAGGTCACCCTTAGGATCTCACTGGCATAGTTCTTTCCATGCCTGCTGCAAAGGATAGGAAGGGGCATCCGAGGAAAGAGGTACGGAACTGTTGTGAGGTAAGAGCAATTTTCCAACTCCATAGGAACTTAGAAAAAAATCCTAAGGCTATCTAGGCAGTATCTAGCAGCCATAGGATGGGGCTGCCCATGAGTGATCTCTTATCTTTTTAGGGCACTGAAAAATCAGCTGCCTTAAGACACTTCACTGTGCCAAATAGGAGGACCTGGGCCCAGCAGCCCTGAATGGGTTCCAACCTTGGGGGGAAATTCTAAAGAGTGAAAATAAAGAAGCAGGAGCTGCTCCTGATGTGTTATTTTACAGTGTTGGTGAAGATGCGAGGTCGCCCTCATAACATACGCACACCCAAAGCAAGACTAAGAACAGAGTCGCATCCCATACTGCAGCTGCAAGGCGCAGGGGTGCCGACACTGACATACTCTTTTCAGCACACTCAATCCTTGTGATCTGGTCTACTCCATGGCTAAAGGGTGCGCATTTGTGCATCCAGGTCAAGCTAACATTTATAGACTTCACATGACAAAGACCCTGTGCCAATAAATTTACTTACTGGATCTTGGGAAACGAGCACTGGCTGGCAAATCAGTGGCGCTCTCATTTCAAAAAACTTGAGCCAGTTGTTCACCTCCTCATCCGTGTTCAAAGGACAGGCAGAAAATTCGGAGGGCTGTAATAAATGGTTATCACACACTGGATTAAAGAAAATGTGGGAGCAAAGGAACACGGGGACAAGGCTAGTGCTGTAAGTCCCCACTATCTCCATCACCCAAGACCCTTAAGCAAGGGCTCCTGATCATCAACACAGTTCCCATCGTAGGCACATCCTGCCTTCACACATCAACCTGAGCAAAGTGGCTGAAGGTAGAGTCCTATACAAATTGGGACAAAGAGATCATTCCATTCCCAGCATGCTCCAGCCAGCACAGGCTTGGGTGTATGAGAAATCCCCTGCAGCAGGACTGCCTTCTATCCCATCCCTTCTTCTCTGGCATGGTTGATGAATAAATGAGGGCTTTTATTTATATTGCGATTTATATCCTGCCTTTTTCCTACAAAGGGCTCAAGGCAGCTTACATCATCTCTCCTCCTCCATCTTATCTCCACAACAACAACCCTGTGAGGTAGGTTGGGCTGAGAGTCTGTGACTGGCCCAAAGTCACCCAGTTGGCTCCATGGCTGAGCAGAGACTGGAGCCCAGATCGCCTGAGTCCCAGTCCCATGCTCTCAACCACTACACCACACTGGCTTTCCCAGGATACTGTGCTGCAGCAGGCAGGCAGTATCCTCTCATGGAGGATAACGCTAATGATGGCTGATAGCGGATTCTTACGGGCTATTTCCTAGTGGTGGTATGGCCAATATATCAACCACTGGAAATCAAGGGTGCTCTTGCACCCATGGATCCTGTGGGCAGCTGGCTGGCCACTGTGTGAACAGAACACTGGACCTGGGGTCTGATCTGGCAGGGCACTTCTAATGTTTTGATGCTTGTACTTCGTATTTCATTTCAGAATATTTATGCACAACTATGTTTTTTTTTTTTTTTTACAAATCCCAAACTGGTTCCAAAATGAAAAAACCAAAAGTGCCAATACAATCAATCACTAAAATTGTAGTTCATCAAAATAGCTAGGAGGTAGCTGGAATAGCTAGGAATCAGAAAAGCAAGCATGTAAGCAAACATGGCCTTGGTTACTGGTGGAAGCACTCCACACTTAGGGGTTCTCTGCTTGAACTCAAAGGGGAGATCGTTTCTCACCATGGGTGCCACAGTGAAGAAGGCCCTCCTCTGCAGCATGGCTGGGTTAATATCAGTGGGCCACGGCACAGTAAGAACCTCCTCAGAATATAAGCAGTCACTTGAAGGACTTGTCAGATTAGCTTGGACTTGGGCACAGTAATGACTTTTGGTGACTGACATTCAGGTTTGAGATGCCCCAAGTAATTCAGCGTAGCTCCCGGTCCTTCTAGAGAAAGTTACTTCTCAGTTAGCTGTGTTGTATTTTATCCTATGTGGTTTTTATGGCCCCATTGTTGTTTTATTTCTTTTTTTGGATTCTTGGTTTTAGTACTGGTGGGCCAGTGGGTTGTGAGAAGGAAAGCAAGAGTGAGGACTTGGGGATGGGCAAGTTTATTAGGCTTCAAGGTCCATCTAACTCGGGGTGTTTTCCTGAATGAACAGGAAATGCAAACAGAAACTTTCGTACTTTATCCTGTTCTTCCTGGTGACTTTCTGGGAGGCTTTGGATGGACAGAGGGCTCTGGAATCAGAGATTTCTAACAAGTATCAGTCCTGTAGGATCGTGCTCTAAACTAGCCCCTGTAAACATCTCAGGGAAGCTAAAAATTCCTTAGTTTCTGGTTTTACATGGGACACTAACAGAAAACCCTACCTATATTGGCAGGATGCCATAAACCTAATAAAATAGAAGTTCAAATCACATGCCATAAACAGAAGTCTTCACTTTTGCATACTCTATATAGTGTTTTTCCATAGAGAAATTTAGGTTGTGTTTATTGTGTCAGTTGTGACGCTGGACTCTGACAGGCTGATGAAAAACATCCTTTGTCAGGGCTGACTTACCATTATATGTATCCTCGCTTTCCCCTTCTGGATAACAAAAGTACCTCCCATCCCAACTGGTTTGTCACCATAATACTTTTCTAAGGTTTTCCTGATGCAGGATATGAAATTCTGCTCCCCAGTTCTTCTATTTGCTTTCACTTCAATGACCTTGTGGGGGAAAACGGAGAAGTGTGATTATATTATAACCACTACATAGCATGAAACATTCTGTTCTGCAAATTTTGATTCATGTCTTTCAGTGCTGCCCCAGGAATACAGCTTCCTTTAATCTACAGGATTAGATATTGTAGCTCACAAGTAATATTGTAATAAGAATTCATAGCTACACAAAGCTTTTTCCTAAACCTTAAACCAGTGGCAGGGAAATTGAGTCCCTCCAGATGTCGCTAGGCTGCAATTCCCATCAGCCCTAGCCAAGGTTGAGATGATATGGGAGTGCGAGTCCAGTATCATATATTTCATATAAATGATCCCTGCAGGAATACTAGCAGGCCAGAACTATCATTCTTACATTGCAAGTGCACGGTTCAGAAACAAGAGCATACCCAACCCGCCTCCCCCATGAATTATGTGTGTGGCGTGGCTTTCAGCGCCTACATCTCATGCTCACACTCAGCTTGCCCCAGCCTGGCGTGCTCCATGTGCTTTGGACTGCAACTCCCATGAGCCCCAGCCAGCATGGCCAAGGTCAGGGATGCTGGGAGCTGAAGTGCAGAACTTTCTGCCTAACTATGGGTAGGGCATGCTAGCAAAGCACACACTGTGTTACCTAAAGGCACCAAAATTTATGCTTCTTGCTTCAGAACTGGACTTTCCCCCTAGATGCTAGTTTAATTGACTGGGGTTACAATCCTCTGTGCACTGAGACAGAAAAAGTCCTGTAGCTCCCAGCATTCTCTAGCCAGAATTCTGGGAGCTGTTCAATTTTTTCCTTTCTAAACAAGATTAGGGCAAGATTCTGCCTTAACCGAGTCTACAGTCCTGTAGTTATGCACTTAACTCCCTAGTTAAGTCAGATCTAGGGAGTCGGATATAGGGCTGCACTGTAAAATTCCAATGATTACTTGACCTGAACAGGTACGCTTGAATCCCACATGATTTTTTAAAACATTTTGTCCCGCTAACACACACCTTCATTCTCAATGTAAAACCCAATTCAAACATTTCCCTAAAGACTCATGAAATAATTATTGGGTGGTATATAAATAAATACTTATGCACCTGCCCAGGGAGGCCTTCACTGGCATAGAGGTTGGCAAGCAGTCCAAATTCACAGTCATTGTGTTTGGAGCTGTACTTTTCCAGCAAGGACCCGCCATCACTAGGGTTAATTTGGGCGATGTAGCTTCCATTGACAGCTGGTTTTTCCTCACTTTTAGCTTTAACAACAGGGATTAACTGAAAAGAAATCATGTGCATTAAGAGATCACAGTTAGTGGAAAAAACAAGCAACCATACTCCAGGTTAATCATCCTGAACACAGGAAGAACCTAACCAGAGATGCCTGCATCCTGTTGAAATATTTTTATTCAAAAAATAATATACCTTTAAAAAAATAGACTTTTATTCAAAAATATTTTAACAATGTTTAATATTTATAGGTTCTAATTGTGCAGCCGGCTGTTTCCGGGTTTTAACTGTATTTGTATTATATTTGTGTGAGCCGTTCTGAGGCTATATAGCGAGGGGACGGGATACAAAAACTTTAAATAAATACAGAAGTGCAGAATCAGGATTTGAACTAGGTCAGGACACCTGCAAATAAGGGAAACCTGTTAATAAGGGAAACTGGTTAGCCTAAGCTGTAGGTAACACTAGTATTGATGTAGCTTTTAGGGGGAAAAAACAGTAAAATATCCTTGCTCTGATTTCACCTACCTGTGGTGAAAATATTGGAGCTGTTTTATTTGCTCTTCAAGTTTGCCATAGTGGGATCCCTAAACTGAAACCAAAACTTGCTGAATCTTACTAAATTTAACCAGGTCTTGCTGTTGCTTTTTTTTTTTTAACTGAAGCAACCACAAGGTAACATTTGCCCCATAACAGTCATAAATAGGGATTGCTTTCTTGGACATTAATTCCATGTAGCAAGTTTTGGTTTTAACCCACCCAATTTTGAAGGTTTTTACCCTATGGGATATTTTAAGTACTAAACTGATTATATATTGGGAACCCCCTTAAAAAAAAGTCACCATGCAAAATTGACAGAGAAAAAAAAGAATTTGACTTCATTCCAACAGAAATTAATGTTGTAAACAGATCTTAAACAGATCTAGAATGCATCTTTGCATTTAGCATCCAGGTTTCTTCAAAAGCAGAGTCAGCTTAGCCCTTAGCCAAGTTCACTTGACCAGGAGTTTGAACCAAGATTTTGCCAGTGCAGGACTGCAAACATGAGCTCTCTTCTCTGAAGCAAGCAGATCAAACAGCTAATATTTACCTACCTCAGCATTGCCTCCAACAACTCTAGATGAAGCCGCTCCAGCTCCGAGGAAAAAAGCTCCTGGCAGCTGTATTTCCTTTGCTACTGTGTTCAGGTCATAAACCTAAATAAGAAAGATCCATTACTGAGAAGTTCCTTTTGTTTTCATGCTTTGATTAACATTGTCCTTTCCTCTTGGGAAAAATCTACATTTCAAAATAATGCAGTGATGACTAAAAGCAAACATGAATTTCTCAAGAAAAAAAATCCTACCGGACCAATCTGATATCATTTTTCCATTGGGCAGGCTCCCTGACAGACTGTGGGATTGCTCTGGACATCATCTATCTTGACTTCAGCAAGGCTTTTGGCAAAGTGTCCCACAGCATCCCGATTAGCAAACAAGCTCAGAGGGGGCTAGATGGAGCCACCATCATGTGGATTCACAGTTGGCTGCAGAGTGAAACTCAAAGAGTGCTCATCAGTGGCACCTTCTCAAACTGAGGAGACGTATCAAGTGAGGTACTGCATGATTCAGTCAGGGGCCCACTGCTCAACATTTTTATTAAAGATTTGGATGAGGAAGCACAGGAAATTATCAGATTTGAAGATGACACAAAACTGGGTGGGATAGCTAACACCCCCTGGAATGCAGGAAGGAAATTCAAGGTGATCTTTATAAGCCGGAGCATTGGGCTGAAAACAGAATGAAATTCAGTAGAGACAGCACCAAGTTCTGTACCTAGAAAGAAGAAACCAAATGCATCATTGGCTCAACAATACTGCAAGTGAGAAGGATCTTGGAATTTAGATCACAAGCTGACTATGAGTCAACGTGATGTGGCTGCAAAAAGGGGACATGCTATTTTAGGCTGCATTAATAGAAGCATCACTTCCAAATCCGGTGAAGTGCTAGTTCCCCTTTACTCAGCACTGGTTGGGCCTCATCTGGAGGACTCTGCCCAATTCTGGGCACCACAGTTTACGAAAGATGCAGACAAGCTGGAAAAGTTCAGAGGAAGGCAAGAAGGATGATCTGGGGACTAGGAACAAAGCCCTGTGAGGAGAGATTAAAGTACTGGGCATGTTAAGCCTGGAGAAGAAAAGACTGAGGGGAGAAACTATAGAACTCTACAAATACTTGGAAGGTTGTCAAAGAGAAAGGACAAGATCTCTCCTTGATCATCCTGGAGCGCAGGATATGGAATCAAGGGCTCAAGATGCAGGAAGCCAAGTTTCTGCTACGTATCAAGAGAAAAATTCCTTGTTAGAGCAGTATGACAATGGAACCAGTGACCTAGGGAGGTTTTGGACTGTCCCACACTAGAGGCAATCAAGTTGCCATCTGACAGGGAAGGTTTAACTCCCTGCACTGAACAGGGAGTTAGACCCAATGGCTCTATGGCCCCTTCCAACCCCACTGCTCCATGATTCAGTATGCATGGTTATCTTCCCTGCAAAAAGCAAGATCCAGCATTGCATAGAAAAGTTGTCACGCACACAGTTGCAAGTGCTGTGGAATAAGGTTGGGCAGCAAGTGGGTCTCCAGGTGCTTTGACCTTTAACTCCCAGAATTCTTGACCACACGAGTCCATCTTCTGGGAACTGAGGTTCAAGACATCTGGAGATTTCCCTTCTTCCCACCTCTACTGTAAAAGTAGCAGCAGTGGCGTGAAAAAGAAACAGATTAAAGATCAATTCAAAATAGGAAGAGAAACTGAAGGTGGGTGGGTGGGAGAGAGACAGACAGACAGACAAGAGTCGGTGAAGAACCAGCAGTCCAGACAGATAATAAAGTGCGAAGTTGAGTACCGCAGGGTGGGAGCTTAAGAAAAGTTGCAGCTGCGTGCAGAGCATCTGCTTTACATGCAGAACATTGTTTGATCTGAGATCTCCCTGCAGCTTCTTGCCTGAAACCCCAGGGAGTGGCTTCCATCAGCAGCTAGAGGTCTAGACTGGACTGGAGGAGCCCAAGGCCCGACTCTGCACATGGCAGCTTCGTACACTCCATAGTGTAACTGGATCCAAAACAGTTCCCCTTCCATCTGGGGAAGTGGATCAACACATACCATGTTTTTCTTCTCCTCCTGCAACTTTATAAAATGGTATGGGACTCTCTGATGAATGATTCTGGGATGTCTTTGGATGAACAGCAAGATAAAATATTTGGAATGCATGAAATACATTTATTACACTCGGCCAAAAAGCAACATAAGGATCACAGCCTCAATAAAAGTGATAAAGAATGGCAAACTAAAAATGAGAGATCACAGCAGGCCCAAAAGAGGCAAAGATGTTTTAAAATGTCACCATCTGTTCTAATATTAGTCCCCGCAAGAGAGTCTCTACAGACTCAAGAGTTCGGCAAAACAATAGATGATAACTAGCAAAAGAATACACAGATAGCCATTTGTACGCATGTGTGATTACAACGGGAAGAGCTGCACTGAAAAAAAGAAAGAAAACCATCCCAAAGTATTGGAAGTAAAATGTTAAAAAGGGACAATAGCTTTTCTCTTGTATTTTCATATTTAAATATATGAGTACCATTGTGAAAGGAAAAAATCATTCTGTGTGATGAAGGTATTCACAGTCCAACTCATACTGAATGCAGCATAAGGCAACTTCTCTGCCTCCTCTTCCTCCTGCCCCTTGCACCCTTAAAAAGGCTCTCAAGTGCTGGAGGGACTATTGGAAAAGGCCTGAGATGTGAGGCTGCAGTGGAAGGGAGACCGATGAGGCAGTTTCTGCATCTGCCTGCTTTTTCTCCAGGTTTCTCCTCTGTGTAAAGCCTCCTGACTCACAGCCCAGGCCTGTCCTGAGGGTTGGAGATTATTGGGCATCCTCTTGGGGCTGTTCAGATGAGCCGATCAAGCAAAATTTAGGGGCAGCTGCAATTTTGCTCCCCGCTTCTGTAGGATTCAGCATACCCAGGTCTGTTGTCTGAAAAAGGCGTATGTCTGCTGAAGATGATGTGGCATATTCATGCCATAAATCCAACAAATAAAAATATACCTACCTGCCATGTTTAATATTTATTTTTATTTAAAACTTTTATATGCCCTCCCTTATGCATGGCATCTCATGACAGCTCACAGTCAATAAATTCACTTGCAAAATGCTGCTATTGCATGCTGTTGCCACAGCTACTTAAGAGTGCAGGCTTAAGAGAAAATCAGTGCAGCTGATACTTATCTGATCAACCAAGCAAGAAAAAAACCTGGAAAGGCAATTCCCTTGTGCCGATGCTATCAGTCACTTTACTGAAGCCAACACAAACTTAGCCAACAAAGTTAAAAATGTCAAGATTATGAAAATAAAGCATGAAACTCCCACGCTACTGCCAAAAGTATGCATTCCAAAAGGAGCTTAGAGCAAGCATGGTGCTGCTAACACCCCAGCCTCAATCCAAGGGAACTTGGATATCTTTTAAGCACAGCAAATAAGTTGGCTAAAATGGTTTTTAGATAAGGGGATAATGAACGAAAGAATCCACAGCTTTATATATAGTTAGCAGGAAAAGCAATTCTGAGGGACATAAAAGATAACACAACTGAACAGAATACAAGAAGAGCTACGGTTGATTAGGCCAAGGTTCCATCTGATCTGGCATTCTGTTTACAAAGAGGTTAACATGCTTTCTGCAAGGAAGCCACATGATGGATATGAACACAACAGGACCCTCCTGCCCATGTTCCCCAGCAACTGGCATACACAGGCATATGGCCTCTTGTAACCTCCTCCATGAATTTGTCCAATCCCTTGCAGCTGTCCAAATCGGTGGCCTTGTGGTAGTTACTTCCACCAGATAGTATAACTTTGCAGCCTGGGAAGAAATATCCTTTGATCTGCCCCAGATCTCCCACCAATTAGCTTCATGGGAATGACCCCAAGTTCTCCTAGGGATGAATGAAGGAGAACAAAGCCTCCCTCACCACTTTCTCCACATTGTGCATGATCTCGCACACCTGTCACATTTCCCCTTACTTGACCTTTCTCTAGGTTCAACTGTCCACCTCTCCCCATAGGGTAGTTGCTTCAACCTCTTAATGGGTTTCTGCACTTTTTCCAGTCCTACTATATCCTTTTAAAGTGCAGTGCACACATTTTACATACACAGCCAAGGCTATTGATCAGTCACCTTATCTTTTTGTACAAGAGGTAGAAGATACGGAACACCTCCCACATCTGCAATCCTGGGTTTGCCGCAAATGCCTGTAAGCAAAACCAAGAACAGTAGGTGAGTTAGGTTCTTTGAAAAGCAGAGAAATTTCACTGAAATAAAGGGGAAAAAGACATTCCTTTGTGAAGTCTTAACTGCTCAGTAATGATGGGGAGTATTTAATAGCAGAAGTCATGTATTGATTTCTGCATTTAAATGCTCCCCCCTACTCCTAATCAAGTCTCTGAAGAATCTTTATACATCTGATATCGACCCCCAATGTGCTGCAAGATAATTTCAGATAAAGGGTGCATATGCATCTGAGACACAGTAGGGGTGTCCAACCTCAAGCCGAAAGGGCCAAATCCAGTCCTTTGGCTGTCCCAAACTGGTGTTTTCCTCCAGAAAACTTCTGTTCTAAAACATTAAAATGCTTCGAAGTCACCAGGAACTTTGTTTTACTCACTAGTTGCAACTATATCCTGCCTTTGCAAAGCATTTAAGAATTTCCTTAAACATATGTACACTTAAAATATGAAATGTTTTGATGTAAGACAAACAGGAATATGTTGCAGTACCAATTGAAAGCTGAGCCAGGACCAATCTGCAACAAGGCCAAACCTCAATAAGGGGATATAGATTAACAATCAGCCATTAAGTACTACAGTCAAACATGCTTCATCACAGCTTGCTTCCTTATTCTGGTTTGGCTTTTTTTCCTGACTGGCCCTGATACAGCCTTTAAGTGATACTGTAATATACTCTTGAAGCTGGGTTTTTATACCAATGTGTTTCATATTTTAAAAACTGCTTATAATAGACAAGTTTTCAAAATCATTTAACTCTTGCCCATTTTTAAACCTATGGGATCTGAAAAACATTTAAATTGTTAATTGCTAAAATGTAATAAGTAGATGCAATATTAGCAGTCATTTTGCTTGAAGTGTTCTGTATGTTGCATTGCCCAACATAGATTCTCGCTTTTTCTCCTACTTGATGCATCCCCTCTATTTTATCCTCCTAACAACCCTGCACCTTAGCTTAGGCTGAGTCAGTAACTGGGCCAGGGTCACCCAAGTCTCCGGTGCCCAGCTTTTATTCTACATTGGCCTGAGGCTACAGTATTATTATTATTATTAGAACATTTCTATGCCGCCCCTTGCTGAAGCCTCGGGGCGGCTTACAACACAATACAATACAAAAATAACAATATAAAATTAAAATATAAAATAAATAAAAAATATAAACAATATAAAAGAAGTTATAAAAGAAAAGTTATAAAAGAAGAAAAGTATGCTGGCAATTGAGGTACTTTTCCCTGCACAGTTTTGCCTCTGTTTGTCTGCCACTGGAATACATCCCTCTGAGAGCTTTTCCAAAACCAAAAGTGGCCTTTTGGCTGAAATAGGTTCTATACCCTGACAGAGGAGTCAAACGTGATTTGATGCTCTAGCCCTCCCACCTGAAAAACGAACACCTTTCTGTTGACTTGAATTGCTGTGAAATATCATTGCCAAATTAGTTAAGGGAAATCCAGTACCTAGGAGCAATATTAATTACTACTAACAATGGCAGAATGATCCATGGGAAGGAATACTGCCTGTACATCCTGTTAAGTTTCAGAGTATCATTGATCTGTCCACTCTTAGAAGATGTACAGTGGACAAGATAAATTTCTGCTCTAGTCTACAAATCTCTTATAGCCTTGTGTCATAAAGATGTTTAATTTTTAAAATAATACATACAGCCACGAAGCAATTCTGCTTCTCTCTTCAACATGATGGAAACTAGGTGACTTTCAAAGTTAGGACAAACTTGCACTCTAAAAAAACTCCTTGTTGCATCATATATGCTTATAGTAAATTCATTCTGAGTGTAGAAAATTTCTAGACAAAAATGGTACCATCAAGGCACAAGAGAAAGGATTCAACATACACAGTGGAATCCCACATTTTGTGGGTTGGGGAACACCCACAACAGCCCAGTGAGGATTGAATATGCTCACTGACCACAAGAACCGGCTGGCTGATGAGGGAGATAAAAACAAAACCAGAGTGGGGTGGATATGAATGGAATGGCGTATGCCAAAAAGGGCAGTGTCATTGGCTGGCATGTTCAACAGATATATTCCACACTTTAAGTTTCAGCTGCAACTCTAGCTTGTTACCTTTAACAGGAAATGAGAAGGGTTCTTTAGTCAGATCGGGGCAATCTACTACAGAAACTTGGACATCTGCAAAGTTTTCTTTAAGTCCATTCTGCAAAACTAGAAGAAAGTTAGATGATCTCAAGTTAACAGTGTCAAAGAACAGAATACCCTTTGATCAAGCAAAAGTGAGATTAGTCACGGCCCAGAGAGCTTGGGCTATTAAATGGAGCAGAAATTAAATAAGTTATGCTTCCTTCTTGCTCTAACATAAAGCCAGTAGCAGTTCTACTCAGGTCTAAGCTGAGCACTCTGACTTATCTATTTCTGCTCTTGAAGTCACAGCCAAGACCCGAGTCTGAAGGGGAGAGAGAAATTCCAAGAGCAGACGAGAGAGAGACTTGGATGCTTCTGCAGCATGGTTGCTTCAGATGCCTTACTTAAGAGGACAAAAGCAGCACAACAGATTTATTATACCCTCTCTTCTTTCCAGTGCCCTCCAGCTGTGCTAGACTACAGCTCCCATCATCCCTCAGCCAGCATGGCCATCTAATGCCTCTGGGGGGGGCACCAGGATGGGAAGGGCTGATTGGATACTTGATAGCACATATAGCTGATGAGTAAATGTGAATGTTCAGCCAATTCAGAAAAAAAAGTTTAAGGGCCACAATCCCATGCACACTTAGAGAAAGGTCCTATGACTGATAGCCTTCCTCAGCTGGAGAAAGCTGGAAGTTGTAGGGCTTCTGCAGTCTGGACTTGCATAGGATTGCACTCTAAGGGGGAAATCCTATCACAGTGATCATAAGCTCCCAAACTCGGACATTTGTGTGCGCCCCATAGAGGCTCTTTGCCCCCTTGTCCTCCCACCCTGCCTTTTCTGCTTGATGCACCTTTTCTCCTTATTTCTGGAATGTTTCAGAGGGGAATGAAAGGAGGCTGGGAAGGCTCCCAGAGAGCTCCTTCTCCGGCCTCTGCAGGCTTTCTGCCCACCAAAATGCCCCATTTTACCATTGTTCGAAGATGCAGTCCCAGCTCCATACAGGCAGCTGAAGCAGTTCTTTCTACTCTAGCTGTGGGGTTTGGGTCCAGAGCTCTGATTCCCAGCTCTGAGACTAGAGTGATGTCTCTGACCTTGTCGCTGG